TGGCTTCTTGGGCAGATAATTGGGGGTTTGGTTGTCATGATTGGGTGGATTCCTCACGCTGAACGAATCCATGCCCCTCGCCTTCTTCTCGCACCATATACCGGTGGTGGATAGGTACCGTATATGGTACATGGACGTGGTAAGTTGTAATGGGCCGAGTGGAGATTTTCCGTCTGTACGAGTAGTGAGCGTGGAGGAGGGAGAAGATGGTGGGTATAAGTAAACCCACCCACCCTTTTCCCATCCCAACCTTCACACATACTGTACTTGTCCCCGACGAGTTTCCAGGGTACTTGTCACGATATTTCTAGCACCGTATCTCCCCTCTCTCGCTCCCGTACCTAACCACCCACCAACCCACACCCCTTCTTCTACATTCCTCCCACCAACAACACCAAACAAAACAAAAAAAATGCGCTTCACGTCTCTAACGACACCTCTCCTTCTCCTTCTCCTTCCCCTCCTTACCTCCGCCGGTGGACCCCCCAGCTGCACACTTACCTGCGCGCACAAGGCGATGGGAAAAGCCAACTGCGGCGCTGCGGACGATATCGGGAAGCGTATGGGTGATCACCTGGGATGCCTGTGCAATGACCCGGAATTCAAGAAGGAGTTCGAAAGCTGTATCGCTCAGCCCAGTGAATGTGAGCATCTTTTCTCGATGGCGAGGATGGGGAAAAGGGGGGCTAACCAACGAGCTCTGCAGGTGAAAACGCAGAGGAAGTTCAGGCAGCGAAGGCGGCTGCGGTCGTTGTTTGTGATGGGTACGAACTTTGAGATTGCTGGCGGAAGGGAGAAGGAGGAATGTTCATTTGTTTGGGATTTTTCATCATCATAGGATCTGCTTCTCTGCCACTATGGCGGGGTATCATAGTATTGTCTAATCCAGTCTGGCGATTGTCACTCTTTTTATATACAAGAAAAAAAAAGACTCAAGTCTAATACCAAGCATTTCAGCCAAGCGGCCAAGAATCCCCTTCCAACAGTTCCCGCCTTACGCCCAGAGATCTCATACATCAGGTGTTCCTTCTTGGAGAAGCGGACCGTTACAAGTATTCATACTTACATACATGCACACGCTCCATAGATATACAGGCTTGGTACGATGTACCCGAACACGAGGTTCGAAGTCTGTACCGGTATGGCAAATTATCCGCACACACCAGAGTGCCCATGACCCCATCCGAACCCAAACGTTCTCACACTTCACGCTGGACACTCGTATGTTAATATAAATTGAGGTGGACACATCGAATTAGCACTCATGGGCCAGAATAGCAACCTCCCTACCTACAAAGTGTGATGCGGTACATGGCGGTCTACCGTGCGCGAAATAAAAGCCTGGCCAGAAGACGGCAGCCCCGAAAACAACCACACATGTGTACCGCACTGTATGGTTGATGAAGGCATCACACTTACGAATATCTCCTCCCACCAGGAAATCGGAAGAAGGAAAAAGACAAGCGTGGAGAAACCATCCCTTCCCGAGAATGTATTTTTTTTTTCCTTCACCATTGAAGCCTTTTTTCAAAAACCACGGTACCGTACCGTACCTCCCTCCCCTCCCCCATCGGCACCGTATTGTGCTGTGCCCACATATACATACCGTACACTCATACATACCACCCGCACTCGTATTACACAATTGCAGTCGCTGCACTGCACGCCAACCGCCTTCCTCCCCACCAACTCAGCGCGGTGCACCGTATGCACTCACATTAGTACTGGTACTCGAGTACAGTGCCAGTCAGCTCCCGTCTTTGTGGGGCTGACATACCGTATCGTACTGAATCGGTACGATACCGCACTCGCATACCGGCACAGCATGTAAAATCGCAGCAACCAGGAAAGCCAATTATGGTAACCCAACTAGACCAGAAGAAGAAGAAAAGAAAGAAAGGAATAAATAACACCCTACACACCCACCCTCGCCGTGTAACCACGTTCCGTATTGTACACATAACGAGTAGTGCACAGCACAACGAACAGGTAACCGTACGGTACCTCCCGCTCGCTTCGTACGGTACTCGAGTACCGTACCGTACTCGTACAAGCACCAAGTACACCGAAAAGTATATATTAATACGAAGCAGTCAATAGGAACCCGCGCTAATATACGGTACTGTACCCGTACGAGTACAATTGCACAGGTTACTGTACTAGCACGGTACGATCACCTCGATCCTCGGTACAAGTACCTTATCAAAAAAAGTCCTTATCCCGTCGGTGATTTTTTTTCTTTTTCTTTTCTTGTTTATTTTTGTTTACTGTATTCATTCATTTGTGTGCGCTGTTTTATTTTTAGCTCTTTCCACCGTATTTCTTTTTTCGTCCGTTTTTTTTTTAAGCCTTTCGCTTGTGTGGCTTGCAGATTTGAGAGAAAAGGAAAGTTTATTTTGTTTTTCTTTTTTCTGGTGTGGGGTTTTTTTTTGCTTTTCTTTTTTTTCTTTGTGTGAATGGAGATCTGGGGAATTTCTATTTGGGAGGGTTGGTTGAGTTTGTTGCAAAGAAAAAAAAAATCAAAAAAATCGAACTTTGTACGAGTACTGTAGGATTTTAGATTCGTAATTGGTACAGTAGGGATGGTCGGCCTGTATCATAGGATAACAGTACTAATACAGTACAGTACCAGTACAGTGTTTTGGTGGGTCGATACCGTACGTAGATTTCCGAATTCCCGTGGAAATTAACATTCCCTTGGTTGTTCTGGATACTGTACTGTACTCGAGTACTGGTACCGGTACTATATAATATTATTACCGTGTATGATACCGTTGTATTATATAGAAGTCACGACACAACCCTCACGCATTCCCACAATTACAGTACCGGTACAGGTAAGTTAAGTTGCCGTGCGACAATATGCACAGCCCACCGTACTGTACTGCACGAGCACTGTACGGTACAGTACTAGTACCGGTACTGCAAACTCGAGCACAGCACAGCATGGAGTCGGTACCCGGATGCCAGCCTTGCCAATGCGTTGACATTATTACATCAAGCACCGGTACCGTACAGTAAAGTAACGTAAGTAACATTGAACCCTCTCGACATCTTCCCCGTATTTCGCAAGTTCAGTGCTGTACTATCGTACGCGCTCGCAAAACGGTGATCTACCCATGAGTACGGTAGGTATTATAGGTAGGTAGGTAAGTTACGGTACCATACCGTACGATACCGCAAAAACCTCATCGATAATGCCACTTATCATACGAGTACTCGTAAGGCATATATATAAAATGAAAGGGAAAAACACAACATAATCCTCAAAAAAACATTCAAAACTCACGATTTACTTGAACGTAATGCCGAAAAGTATCCATTACAAAACTATCCACTTAACCGGACCGGTAAGAGAGAAGAAAAAAAAAAAAAAAGACCCCCTTATCTAGAATATGGTATTGTACTGTACCACCATCCATACCACACACACCATCACGGTAAGTTAATTTCCCCCGGCGCGTAGAGAAAGTACAGTAACATCGCATGCCGATTCGACAGACGGACGGAAACATCACGACTGTTGCCGTGCGTGACACGCTGAGTCCTTGGTACCAGTACAAGTACCAGTACAAGTACCAGTACTAGTATCAGTACTCGTATATACATACCCGCAGTGCACTAGTACTGTACTGTACAGTATAATAGCAGGGACAAGGCGGGCATAAAACAAGGCAAAAGAGAATACTAATCCCATCTCATTCCATTCATTCTCTGCTCTGCATGTTTCCCGGAATTTGCTCAGTATTGTGGCTGTACCGTATTACCAGTATTGTAAGAAGAAAAAGAAGTTTACCCCCGAGGGAATTTCTCGAAGGATTTTTTCTTCTTCCTTTTTTTTACACTTCCTTTTCGGTGGGTTGTTGTCGATGGTTTTCTTTCTTTTACTTACTTACCACTCGTGCGGTTGGTAGTCTATCTATCATACTTTGGCTTGAGTTAAAGATACCGGTAACTCAACTCAACTCACGGGGGGCAGGGTTTTAAGTTATTCGACTGTACCATACGATATCGAAGTTTCAGTGTGTGGGGGTGGGGGTGGAGATAGAGATAGAGAGTGAGAGAGGAAGAAAGGTGGAGGAGAAGGAGAAGTTTATCGTAATTGACGATACCTGAACTTCTTCCTCTTCTTCTTTTTCTTTTCTTTCCCACTCTTCCTTGGGGGATATCGATATCGGTGCTTCTTCCTTCTATTCCTCTACCGAATCGATAAATATCGTACTGTACAGTACGGTACACCACCAAAACCGTCGAGACCAACCGTCGAGACCAACCGTCGAGTTCACCATGCCCACCGCCGTCGCAGCGGCCGCGGCCACCACCTCTACCCCTCCACTGCACTTCAACAATCCCCGATGGACAACCTCCCTTTCCCCCCAAACGACTACTATAACGCTCCTCCTCCTCGACACTACCATTCTGTCTCCCTCCACTTCTCATCCTTGGCCTTCCCTTTCTCCTTCTACCACCCCTTCTCCGCCGAATCCCTATTCGCCGCCGACGACTTATGCTTACACCACGCCTTCCTCGTCCTTATCGTCCGGCATCGGCATAATACTTGGGATATCCCTCGGTGCGGTGGTGCTTGGCGGTGGTATCGGCGCCTGGGTATGGTGGGCCAGGAGGCGGAGGAGGGGGTATGGGGTTCTGGACAAGGAAGGGGAGGGGGAGTTCTTCTGAGTGTAATATAGAAATAGATGGGCGATGGGAGGGGCTGGGGGTATATATTGGGATTGAGACTATATAACTGCTTGACTGGGCGGAAGGGATATTGTCGAATTCGGGGGGTTCTCTTTTTTTTTTTTTTTGGAGTTTGGGGACTCTCATACATGGTTCATCACTCGTGGGAGCTTTTTTTGGGGGGGGGGTTTTTTTTCTGCTTCTTCCGGACTCTCGGCATTATCCACGTCTGTCGGAATGGAAGGGGAGATATGAGAGTATTAATACTATACTACCGTACCATATCACACCATAACGAGTGCTTTGGAACAGGTGGCAAAGGGAAGGAAAAAAAACCACCAACCGGACCGGTGCAAGTTCAACCACAGATGATAAAACAAACATGGGAATTAATCCCCAAGATGTGCACCGCCCGCCCGCGACCAATCAGCCAATCAATTAATCAATGACCCATATAATTTATACTCCGGTCTACATGAATCAAAAGGGAGAGAGGGAGGAGAGAAGAAGAAAAAAAGCGGAAAATGGAAAAAATGTGATATCGGGGCTGCGAGAAGGGGAGAGAAAGAAGAAGAAAAAACTTTTGGTAACCAATTTCCTACGATGCCCCACGCAATCCCATGGCCCGTCCGGGCTCTTCATAGCTATCGTCAGCGTCATCGCTACCGTAACCCCTTCCCTTATCCCCCCTTCCCGACCATGAACCGCTTTCGCTACGCACCTTCAGCTGCGACCGCTCCCTGTCACGCTCCTTGGCCTGCTGAGCAGATAATAGACTATTGTAGAAAACACGGACTTTTTCATGCGCCATAACCTTTTGCCTGTCGAAGCGGAGCACTTCGAGACCCTCCTGACATGTGGCTCTACTGAGAGCGACGTATGCTTGGCCCTTTTCAAATACCTTGCCAAGGTCCACCTTAACCCTCTCCAAAGTCTGGCCCTGGGCTTTGTGGATTGAGAGGGCCCATGCCAGGATTAGCGGTATTTGGATGCGCTGCGCTTGCACCTCGCCGTTGGGAAGCTCGACCTTCCAAGCCTCGGGCTGGACCAGGAGTTGTCGGCTTGTGCCATCTGGAAGAGCGAATTGGACGAGTGGGTATTTGTTTGCGGTGACGATAGGCCCCATTTCCTTCGGGCCCCCACTCCCTTCGGGCCGATGGTCTTCTCCATGTTCGAGCTCTGCCATTGTCGATCCAAGGCTGTCCGGATCCTCACGGTACACATCAAAATCGGCTTCACTCATGAAGCCGACAACGCGGCCGAGTGAGCCATTGACAAGAGTGTCGTCTTGATTTTTGATCAACATCACCTGAGAGTTGATCTTGAGCTCAATCCTCTGAGGAGCCATACAGTTGTTAAGAAGCTTGTCACGCATGTTCTTGTCCACAACTGTCCCAGTATCCAGAGCTTCAAATACGCGGCTTCGACCGCTAAGTTGCTTCATCTTGAGGAGGTTAGCCGTATCAACCTCGTAACGCGTAGGAAACCTGGGAAAAGTCAATCATAATGCGCAATCAGGAATATAATTGTAGGATCCCTTACAGCTCAGTAGCCTCTATACCATCATCATACCGTAAACGACGGGAAAGCTTCTGGAAGAAGGTCGCGGAAGGATCCGACAGACGGCCAAGCCTCATTTCGTTCAAAATATTGGCAAATTCTGCGCGAGGCATTTGTAAGCTACCAAGCGCAATTGAGCGATTGGGTGGAAACTTACCGGGATCTCGCTGCCGAAAGACTTGAGTGAGCCCAATGGTATGCACGATGGTGGTGGGCCAGGTGTCGGCATCGAATGCAAATTTTGCCACCCTCCCCGATTCCGGTACGGGGGGCAGCTGGAAGAAGTCGCCGGTTATCACCACTTGAATACCCCCGAAAGGGGTAGTCCTCTCCATCCTTATTTCACGTGCAATACGCTCGAGCTTGTCAAACAGATCGCCATCAACCATAGATATCTCATCGATAACAAGCACCTTTGTGCGCAGCCATCGATTCCTCGCTTTTGCATTCTTCCGGACCTTTTTGACCAGCTCATCGCCGGGCTCTTTTCCGAGTCCGATACCAGCAAAGCTGTGGAGAGTGACTCCGCCAATGTTGCAAGCCGCAAGGCCAGTTGAAGCCGTTACGGCAACGGCATCCCTCGTATCTCTGTACTTTTCCCGTAGCGCGGCAATAACCTCCCGCAATAGAACGGATTTACCCGTACCTATATGTAAACGTTAGCCCCGATATTAGCAATGCTATCCATGAATAGAAAAATTGCAAGGGTATACTGGGGGGGCATATCAACTGACCAGCAGAACCAGTGAAAAATACCCCTTTGGCACTACCCTCTGTCACGATATCGAGAACATGATTCTGCTCATCACTCAGCCTCAACTTCTGTTTCTTGGTTGCTTTGGTCTTAGTTGGAGCAGCATCCGCAGCCGACGAGGTGGAGTAAGGGCGTTTCTGTTCAAGCCGCTTCCTGTTAACCTTCTTCACAGCGGATGCTGTGGAATCCCATAGTTGCGCTCGTCCCTTTGGCGAGGCCGGCCGACCTAAAGAGGCCACAGCATCCGGATCATTCGCAGTTTCTCTACTATCATCCCCGGCCCAGGGGAAATTTTTCCGCTTTTTTGGCAGAGGTTCCTCGACAGCGTCTTCAGAATCCTCCTCAATTGCTATAGGTCGTCCTATAGAACCACGAAACACAGCACCTCCGGGTTTCGCAAAATGTTCGGCGGGCGAGGAAGACCAATCGACCGGAGCACTGCTGCTAGGGGCACCCCCATGATGAATATCCTCCGAGATTGGCTTTGGAGGCGGTAGACTAATTCCCTGGGTTGGAAGTGAGGGTGCCCCGGCACTAGCGGTGGATGGCGCGGTGGTTATTGTGATGGAATCGTCAAAGTTAAGGTCCCCATCGCTCTCAAAGTCATCCTCATCGAAGTAGACAGCATCATGAAGCGCGGATAGTGAAGAGGCGGGTTGTGGCTGGAAGTAGCGCGACTGGTGCGTGACAGGGTCCGCGGGTGGCTCGTTCTCTATAAACGCGGTGCTATTGCTCAAAGCGCGAACAACCGACTCCTTCGGTTTATAGTTCTGGTATGGGTTCGCTCGAGGGAGTGCAGGCACCGTATCGGCCTTACGATTCGAGTTGTAGCTGCTCAGAGGTTTCGGAGGGTTTCCTGATTGGGGACCTTTCGAGGTTTGACTCGAAGGGATAGTGGTCTGGACAGCAGTCTGGAACTGGTGCCTCTTTGATGGAGGCAGAGGGGGAGGTGGCGGAAGCTCGGAAAACATGTTTGGGCAGTAGCGAAAGGATGGTGGGCGAGGGGATTGTTGTAGTGGAGGGAGGTTGTGGTGAGGAGTGAGCCGTGACCAGAAGGGGAGACAAATGGGGAGGGGAGGGTCCAGGCGTGAGACAATCTGGAGATAACGGGGAAAGGAAAGGGTCGACTGCCGTCGAGTCCGACAACGCAGCATTCACCACACACAATTGAAGGTATTCCTGGAAAAAGCGAGTGATTAGGAAAAAAAGGGCAGTAAGGGGCGCACGTCCGTAACCAGTGTGATGGGCCCTCAGTCTCGCGTTGTGACGGTTCGATTGATTGTTGCTGTGGAGTTTTTTTTTTTTTCCCCCTAGTTCACTAGGGAGGGTTTTTTTTTCCTCCCCCCCCAAATGGCAACGCGACGATAAGGTTAAATAAACGATGCATCGCTGAATCCTCAAGCGTGGTTACCGGTACGGTAGGTTAGCACTTGCGGGTAAAGTGTGCTAGTATGATACTATTGCTTTCAGTGCAATGATTAAGCTGCCCCTCTGCCCTATCAGCGTTATTCGGAGATATGATACCCACAACCCCGCCTATCGATGCGAATGTTTCAGAGACGCGTCGATTTAGGGCCTGTTTGGATTTCCAGAGATTGGGATTTGTGAGATTGGTAATCCATGGATAACCGAACAGTGAACAGGAGATCAGACGTTTACAGGCTTTTGTTTGGTGGCCAATAAAATCCAGTTTTGCATTGCAACCGCCAAGAATCTCTGCAATATCTGACACCCAAACAGGCCCTTAATCATTATCGTTATTGTGTATAACTTAATATTATCGTGTACCGCGTGACACATGGTGTTATTGAGATTGGGTCGCCTCGCGTCACCATCTCAGTCCCAACGGGAGGGAGAGAGGAGGGTAAATGGTGAACCGGGGAAACCGGATGGATGATATTTATATGGTATCATACCTGCACAACAACGGTGGCCATGGTCGAAGGGTACATTCACAGTGCGGATGGGCATTTGAAGTGTTGTTTTGGGTAGACTACGATATCGTCGAATGGCGTATCATATGATACGGCATAGCATCGCTATATCATAGATGGCCCAGCCGCGGGTCTACCGGTAATTGATAGGGCGCGAGTATGATACGGTGCGTGCCCATGATGAGAGAGTTAGAAAGAACGGTTGATCTGGGTTAAGCCGTGGGATAACCCCTGTCTCGAGCACGAAAACCTCCCCCTGAGTGTGACCTTTAACCGCGCAGGACTAACCCCCAATGGAGGTTGCCTCATGCTATCATGGTTACTGGCAGGTTTGTGATACGGGTATACGGAAAAAAGAAGGAAAGGAAGCCCTAAACCTTGGCATCCGCAGATCGGGCGGAACGGAGATGCGCTGCGCTACGGTGCAGCACTCGTGCAGTGTCGGGAGACCTTCCAAAGGAGGAGGACGGGAAGGAGAGGAAAACAACCTCGACAACCGCACTTTCCTGGCACGATACCCTACCGCACTGTATCATACAGCACCGGTAATCGACTCCCGGAGCCCTCCAAACACCTTCCACCCTCTCCCTTCCCCCCTCCTTTGTTTATTTCGAGTTCTGTTTGCTCCATCCATCAACGACTGCCTATCCTGAAGGAATAGCCTTACACCACACGGATTCTGATGGCGTCCCGCCCAACCCCAATCCCCAGCCCTCCGGGCACCCCGGGAATCCATCCGCCTACGCCTACCCAACTCCCAACAGGGCTTGGGATCGAGGATCTGCCCTCACCACCGAGCTCTTCCTTTGACCCAAACGCGCTTTCGCCCCTGGACAATCGCCCCTCGTTCCCGGCATACTCTCCCTCACCTGCTGCCTCAACCCCGCCGAATGGAGCCGCTGTGGCAGCACGACGGGGCCCTGGGAACCCCGGCCCCTTCAATTTTCAACCCATGATGGCATCCAAGTCACCACCTGCTCCTAAGCCTGTACACATACCCTTCCCCCCGGTTTTTTTAATTTTATTTACCCCCCCACTCTTCCTGTGCCAGCGACGTTTTCAGCTATCCTAACGCTAGTCTCATGCCAACGATAGAACCAACGACGTGGACATAGGTACAAACATTCGTCCATTTCGCACCAAATATTCCTAGAGCCCCCGGCCCGAGCGCCCCTTGCCCTCCCGGCCAGTCTGCCAATACCTACTGGAGCGGAGTTGATACGTTCAATATCCTCCGAGCAGCGCACACGTTTCCTGTGGTGCCTCTGCCATCTCTGTACAGCTGGTTTCACTTTGTATAGTGCTCAGGGATCATTGGCCCTGACGGCATTGAGCCATCTGATCGTGTTTGATGCCCTAGGAGCTAGCTTGTGTGTTGCTGTGGACGTGTTGTCAAACTTTGAGGTCTGGAAGAGGAGCAGTGTCAGGCATCCGTTTGGGTAAGACAGACAATCTTTCATTCGCCCCAGTAAGAATATTCGGCTGCTGCTAAGACGTGATTGTGGGGCCGTAGTTTGGAGAGAGCTGAAGTCCTCGCTGGTTTCGCCATGTCCGTGTTCTTGCTCTTCATGGGCTTCGACATTATATCACATACCGCTGAGCACCTGGTGGAGGGATTCTACGAAGGAAGTGGAGGGCACGATGGGGCTGTTGAGCATGAGCTGCACGTCCATGAAGCTCACATGCACCACGCACGGGTATCCCCTGGGAGTGTGGACCTGGCATCACTAGCGGCACTGATATCGACTTGTATCTCTGCGATCCTTCTCAGAAATCACGCTAGGATAGGCAAAGGTAACATATGTCCTCCTCCCCCCTAGACTTGCCCACGATTAAAAAATATGTGATGGATGAGCAAGCTGACTCTTCGTCCAGCCATGCGTTTTGCTGCCCTTGAATCTCTACCCTCCATCCTTTCTAACCCCTCTCACTTTCTCACCATTTTCTGCTCCTTCATCCTCCTTCTCATCCCACTTATCTCCGTTCACATGTCTGCTTGGCTCGACCGTGCTCTTGCGCTATCCATGGCCCTCTGTATGATTGCCATTGGGATCCGGCTTGTCAAGACGCTTGGCTCAATGCTGTTGATGTCTTACGGCGGCAAGGGTGTGTCGGACGTCGTGCGAGAGATTGAGGAAGATGCAGCCATCACCGGGATCCAAGAGGCGAGGTTCTGGCAGGTCCATCATGGGCTTTGCATGGCAAATCTTAAAGTAAATGTGAGCGGGTCGGTTATTGGAGGGAGTGGTGAACTGAGAGTTAGGGAGAGAATCACAAGGTTGGTCAGAGATCGGCTCGGTGGCGGGTACGGAAAGGGGGCGCAAAGATGGGAAGTTTCTGTCGCTTTGCACCCTACAGGATAGTTTTGCACTTGCCGGCTGTTTTCTCTTTCTCCCTTTCTTCTACGAGTCACGTCGCCTAGAGTATCTGTAAGAAAACTTTTTTGGGGCAATAGCCAGGTATTTTACTCGTGCACTTTTTACACATACCAGCTCGGGTGTGCACCTTTTCCCCGATGCGGGTGCCGTGCTCGGCTGAAGATTTGAAATCCCCTGTTGGCTTATGGTGCCTCGTACCAGTACCATGGACTGCCCCTTCACTCAATGAAACAACAAAATAGCTTCGAAGAATGACAATCTGAACTGAGTGATCCCTGAGCAGCTAGGGAGAGTTGATTCCTTTATGGTTTTTCTAACCCATTCTACATATTCACCAGATTTTTCGCTGTGCCGTATCTTCCGCTGGGCTGTCGGGTACGCTACTTGTGTTCGCAAATATTAGAAAATTATGAGTGGTCTGAATCTTGTTTTGCAGTTGAAGTTATTGCATATTCCAAGATAATAACCTCTAATGGGTAGACAGTACTAGTAGCTCTCTTCACCCCTCAACAGCCATCTCCACCAAAACAAATCAATTTAAAGTGCAGATGTGCATCACTTTCCTAAGCCAGTCCCCCGGCCGGCTCCTCAGTGCCCAGTGGCTCCGGCAGCTTATGGTCGGTTCGGGTCTGGAGAGTATGGCTCAAGCATAGTCTTTGACTAGCCAAACGATCACCTATTAATTAGCTATACTTCACATATGTATACACTTAGGAGCTTACCCCCTCCGCCCCCGTGAACACTAAGTTGGACCTGCCATTTAGTAAATGTAAAGTCTGACTTTGTATGATACTCCCGATTTTTTTTTCCACCAATTCGCCAATGCCCTCTTCCATCTTAACCTCAAGTTCCCTGGACTTGGAGCTCGCGTTCACTAAAGAAATGCCCTCTCCATTTTCGCCCCCCAGTTCACTACGGTTTCTCCATTTTGACCTCAAGTCTTCTAGACTTGGAGTATTGGAAATACCGAGGCGGGGTTCAGCATGCTCTCACAATAAGTTTGTTTGTTTGTTTGTTCGCATGGATTTTGGAAATGTGCTTTGGCTTTCGGGAAAGCATTTGGATTGCAGGAATGCGTAGAGGTTTTGGATCGATGCATATGCCGGAAGGGAAGGGAAGTGGGAAGGGCGTACTGTAAGAAGGAGGGCCGGAAAGTCGCAACGTCCAAAGTTGCGGCTCGAGCGGAAAAGAGGTATGATAGGGCTAAGGGCACAAGCAGGGGAGCTATGGGGAGCTGGAAATGACGTGTTATTCCGTCACCGCTGACTTCATTCCAACCAATTTCCGGATTGGGAGCCAAATACCGGTAGTCAAACTCGAGGGAAGACTGCACGAGTACCATAGTCTGCCGTACTCTAGCAGCATCAATGTATCATGGTCTACGAGTGGACTGGTCAATTGTAGTAGTGCTGCAAACTGCAAACGAGACCCTTTCCATGAATCTGTCCCAATTTGACTACCGTACTCGTACTCTCTAGACTGCTTTCCAGTTCCCAAAATTCCCGGACCACAGGGCTGGGCAGCACCGGTACGGTGTCACGCTCTTATAGTTTTCGGTAGTCTAGCTTTACCGTGCTCACACAGGATCTCGGCTCGTGCTCCTGCTGTGCTGGTATCGCTGCTGCAGTACGGGTAATTCACGATCCGTTGTTCTGAACCTTAACTTACTGTGGAACACTGCCGGTAGAGTGATATGGCGAGATTACAATCGGGGGTGGGCTAGATGTTATGCTGCGGGAGAACTGAGTGTTTGCAGTGGCCAATGCTCGGATTGGGGGGATCAGATGAACGCAGAAACCGAGAAAAGAACCATTCCAGGAATCAAGGCAAAGGGGGGGATATGATACCGGGGATATGGCTTACGTCTGCTCTCACCCCACCCTCCCATAGTCTACCATCCCGCCACAGATAGTGCTCGAGTATATATTACGATACGGTACTCCTCGTCTGCTCCTCCTCCTCCTCAGCCTTTTCCATCTCATATTTACGCCCACCGCTACAGAGAAACAACCAACTCGTCACTCACCAATCAAATAAGAAAAATCCCATCTCGCCGCTCAAGTTGTTTGCTTCCATTTTGAACCTCAACCATGGAGACTGTGGCCAACGCAGCAGCCGCCGCCGCAAACACTGTCCAGCGAGCCATTTTCGGTAACAGAGCTGCACATGAGGAGAGTATTTCTCGTGACGGTGATACCCAGCATATTGGCAGAAACACTGCGGGGGCTAACGCAGCCATTGATGAACCTCACCGCTCTCGCGAGACCGCAACCAACTCCAACCCTTTTCGCCATTCCACAGGTGCACCAGAACCTGTCACCCCCTCCCCATACAATCAACGTGATAAGGGCGGGCCGGGTGCCGGTCCTCCAGTTTATAATACCAATTCCTCAGCTTTCAGCGAGCATCTGCCCGAGGCCACAGACCATAGCCCTCACAACACAGATAATGTCAGCACTCCCGGTGGGAATGATGCTTTGAAGGTCCATCATGGAGATCTTGGGGACAGAAGCACTCGGGGAAAAACGGAGCTGAACACTGCTCTCGGGGAAACAGAGCCAAGAGGTCACGGCACGCACAGTCACTCGGCATCACTAGGCGGGGCCGAGCCCAGAAGCAGGGAGGTCGGCAATCAACCCTCTGGCTTGGGGAAGACTGAGCCTGGTAAGATGGAGTTGGGAAGCAACGACCTCTCCACTGATGGAGCTTCTTTCGGAAAGGGCGAGCATAGCAGCACGGATTTAGGAAAGACCGAAGGCAAACCGGAGTTTGGTAAAACTGAATTTGCCGAGTCTGCGCAGGGCAAGACTGAACTTGGTAATTTTTCCAACTATTCAGCCAACCCCGATCGTAATACCGATACATCTGATCCTCTCGCTAGCAATCGCGGAAGAAAGGAGCCCGGAACCGGTCACGGATCTAGAGCCTCCCACACACCTGACTTTGATACTAGCCCTGACTCTGGGCTTAGTTCCGGTCTTACTGGCAAGTCCAGTTCTGCGAACGAGACCACCGGACAGTCACATCTATCTCAGCCTTCAACTGCTGCTTCAACCGCCAATGCAGCTCCTGGAGGTGTGGCGGGAGTTATTGGAGATGGGCCGGGAGCAGCAGTCGAGCCTTCGGCCGGCGTTCACCCAAACTCCGGAGCTCGACCAACCCACAAACAACTGGGCGCTGACAAGCCCCTCGAGGAGCCCTATAGTTCTGGCGATGATCCCAATGCTGCTGCTTCCAATGCGGGTGACCTGAAGCCCCTCGGCAGTGGCGTGAAGCTTGACAACGAAAGTCACGGCGAAGGAACCGGCGAAAAGTACGAGAGGTCCACTGGGCTAGCCGCTGATGGTGGTGACTTTGATGCTACCCGTCCTGGCGCTGGAAAGGAAGCAGAGTAAGTGGTTCAGCGTGTATTCAATTAGGATTCATTCTAAAGTTTCAAAAGCCGTCTTCTAGAAGAAAAGGGTATTCATAGAGCCGCGAAAGGTTCTACGAACCTAGAGGAGGAGAAGGCTAAGAAACGCCATGGCGTCCATCAAAAGGCCCCGGGTGAATCTCAGGGACCTGATGGTGAACATAAGGGGCTCACGACAAAGATCAAGGGTAGGTCGTCCTTTGCATTGTAAGTTACTGCAGCCGAGGCAGCGCTAACGATTTCCTCAGAGAAGCTTCACCTCGGCCACCATTAAATTAATTGAACCTTTCGTTGGTGAATAGGGGCGATCGCTTGTTTTATATATTTCTAATGCCTTTTCCCTATGTGCTTTTTCGGTTGTTATTCCCACTGGTAACATGTTGGTCGAGGTCTCGCTTTAGACAGGGTTTGATGAGCGTTGTCTTGGAAGGAGCCGGATTTGATTTAATGAAGCTTGATTCCGTTCAGCCCTATGGAATGCATGTGCACCACTCGAGTATGGCAAATTCAGACTCTCGGATGGAATCTTTGGCAACGGTAGCACACTACAGCAGCCAGCGAGTTACAAGTAGATACCAATGATTGTTGTCTCATTTTGTGGACTGCTGATGTAATTATCATCCGATCTCACTCGCAACGCACGATGCACGTCCCTGTGCCCTCCGGAAGCTGGGTTGAGTCAGTCAGCCCTGGTTTATCTGGACCTTCCACCGAAATATGCTATCATACCGGTACCGGTACCCGAACACACACCTAACCAAGCAAGTGGCCAATCCCACCGTGATCAAGCCTTCTCCCGTGTCAACGAGATGGATACCCAGGCAGCACGATACGGTAGGGCACGGTAGCTGAGGGTTATCAGCACCGCACTCCTCTTCTCTCCCCGGTATGAGATTCATATTCCCTCAGATAGGGCTACCGTACCGGTAGTGAATTGGTGAGAAAAATGGAGCGAAAAATGCAGGGCTGAGACGTGCAGGTCTCGCTCACGTAAAAATTGGCTGGAAAACTATCGGAGGATACTGTAGGCCAAGGAAAGGGGGCGTTGTGGAACCTATCAGCTTGGGATTCACCGCTCCGATAAAATTGTAGGGAGCAAGGTAATTACTAAGGCTGGTGATCCTTGCACTTAATGCCCTGTTATAGCTTCCTGCTTCCCGCATTCCCATCTTTCGTTTCTCTCTTCCCATTCACTTGCTTAAACTTAGTTCTCCGCCCTCTCTTTGCCATAGAGCGAATAACCTACCCCCTCAAACTCGCCCACCATTCGGAACCACAACTACCCCAACCGTTTCGCAAGGATGGCTCGGCCGAATGGCCATCGGAGCGATGATGATCTGGAGGGTGATCCCCCCCCTCTACGAATCGTCGTGCCCAAATCCCCACTAAGCACCCACCGACCCAGCACCTCGCGCTTCCGTCTCCGCCGGGCGGGAACGGTCCTCGCGTCGGCGAACTACCAGGACGAAGCTCCCGGACAGGAGCCGGGTCTCGGCCCCGATGAGGAATTGGATGCGAGAGTTAATATTCACACGACCTGTGGGATCACCGTCGTGGACTTTTCGGAAGATGAGATATTGCAGACAGAACTTGGCAACGTGGAACTCATTGAGTTTTTGAAGAAGGCAAAGGAGGAGTGGGTTAATGTGCGGTGGATCAATTGTAATGGGCTTTCATGGGATGTTATTCAGGCTTTGGCGAGGTATGGAAATTTGCATCGGCTTGGTAGGTTTTGCTCTACAATTGGGGGAAAGGGGGGGCTTTGCTGATTCCGGACCCTGGCGGTAGCGATTGAGGATTTGATGAATACTAAGACGAGAACTAAATGTGATTGGTTGGCTCCCGTTTTCGCTATTTCGTTGGGACGTTTGGGCGAGTGCTGACTTGGGGTGGACAGGTATTCGGACCAGGCTTTTCGTTAGTACTTCTACCATGGGATACCCGAGTGGAATGAAAACTAATTTTTTGTGCTCCGCAGTTGTTTTGCCGTTGCTTAAGTTGATCCACTCGGAAGATAGTAGTGATCCTTATCCACTTACCTCCCTTGGCGGTACTAACTGTGCCTCCAGCTGAAAACCGCGGCAATGCTCCGACTACAAATCCGGACGGAACCACGATTGGGAAAATTAAGACACTACAGGAGTACTACGGTGGGCCGAACAAAGAGAGAATAGAGTGGGCCTCTTAACCTGGAGGATTAAACCAGTGCTAACAGAACCAAAGGTACATGGAGAAATACTCCAGTCTGTCATCAAAGGGCCTCCGCGTCTCGGTAGAGCAGGTATCAATGTTTCTAACGGAGGACGGGACGGTTATCAGTTTCTTTGAGAACTCAGCAGATGATATCGAGTACACCCGACCCCTTAGCACAAATTGCAAGATGGCGAGCTAACGCGTCTGTAGACCACCAATCTTCCAAAGACTCGAATCTCGAAACACTATCCTCCGCTCCGCGTGCGATGGGTCAATGATACTACAGGCAATCGTAGCCGCCCCCTCCTTTTCGCTATTATCAAGCTGGTGATAGGTGATAACCTATGAACTAGATTGATGCCATAATCGATCTCGCCTTCCCCGTGGTCCAAGCCTACCAGGACACCATAGCAGAATTGGAACTGAATGTCCTGACTGACCCATCTGTGGAGCAATCCCGAGAATTGTACATCCTAACCAGCGAGTTGTCTCTACTAAAAAGCACAATCTCCCCGGTCGTCGGCCTCGTTTCCTCCCTCAAAGACCACCGAAAAGGCGGCTCTTTCACAAAGGACCTAAAGGGCGTTGAGGTCAGCGAGCTTACGAAAACCTATCTTGGCGATGTAGACGACCACCTACTCCTTCTCATTGATCGTAACCCCCCCCCCCCCCCAAAGTATCTACATTTAGTAGGGGGCATAGGCTAATGGCCGCAGAACCTCGAAACCATGAAGCGTGCAGCAGATAACATGATTGACCTAATCTTCAACACCATCGGCATGACGCAAAACGAGTCGATGAAGACCCTAACTCTCGTCACAATCCTCTTCCTACCCATGTCCTTCCTGACCGGATATTTTGGAATGAATTTCGAGGACTTCCCGGGAATCCGGAATTCTGATAGGTTCTTTTGGAAGATTGGTGGTCCGATCCTGGGGATCACGATTTTGTTTTTGCTGAATGGGATTGTCGGGAAGAGCGTTAGGCAGAAGTGGAGGAAGAGGGGAATTAGGGTTGCGAGGGAGAGGAGGGTTAAGCTTATGAATGGTCGTGGTGGGGGGCAGGGCTAGATGGTGGGCCGGCGGAAATGGGGAATGAGGAGAGAGGGAGGGGGGATGTAAATCGATTATTTATAATTTGGGGCTCAAATTTATTCTTAGCTAGGATCAAAAGGGGTTTTATTTAGATGCTTTAACTTATGATACTTCTTACTGCTTCGAGTTTGAGGTTTGAATGGGATGGGATCGAATGCCCGCCGTGGCGTTTGTTTTTGAGCACACATGCCATAATATTATTAGTATAATAGTGTTACCGGTTATGCCATGCTGTGGCTCTACCATTGTATGACACTGTAGTAGAATATACACCCACACCAGCTAGGACACCGGTTGCACGTTTGGGAGCGTTCCGCCGAACCCACTTAGCTTATCCGCCACTGTAATCCAATAAAACTATTATAATAATTATTATCATACAAACCCCCCCCCCTACCACCGCGCACACAACAAATACATACCATCCAACCTTGCAACCCGATAAATGAGTGATACCCAGTGACGCCGTCGAACACCCCACCAGAAACGATTTTTCCCACCGACCTACCTTATCATGGTATACTTACGACACCGTAGTTATCACATCCCCACCCTCCCCCTCGCGACCTCCCCCATAATGCGGCTCGCACCAATACCCCAGCCCCTAGCAATACGAAAAACATCGAATTACGCGCAGCCATCTCCTAACCTACCTACCTACCAGGTCCCAAAATCTCCACACGTATGATACGGAGGACTGTCCTGAGAAAATGAACTTCTGATCGGGTGGGTGGATCAAGGCCGTCATGGTTGTGGTGTTATATCGTAACTCTTTGTGTGATAAGGTATCAACAGGGGTAGGTAGGTGGCGTTCCTTCCGCTCTCTGGTAAAACAGGACACGACAAAAGAAAAAAGAATATTATAGGAAATAAGGGGGAATTTGTGGTGGTATGTAGTGGGATTATTATGAATTTTTTTTTCTTTTTCTTCCCTGCATTGCATTGCGAGATGAGATCGATATGTGTATGATAGATGGAATAGTTGGATGGATGGATGGATGGGTAACTCGGTCGTGAGTGCTGGATCCTCTCTACAATCATGCTCTACCGTACGGTACTCGTACAGGGCATCATATATAAAAAACCGCTCGGGTCCTGCTGGGTGGTTAGGTGTATGACATCACGACTCAATCCCGTATCGGAAAGTTCTTTCTTTCTTTCTTTCTTCCTTTCCGGATCGGATTTTAAAGGGAGTGGGTTTTCATGGTTGGATTGATGCATGGGGTTGTACTGTACTAGCACTGTACAGTACAATTACCCACCGACCAAGTCCGAAAGTGCCAACCCAGTTACGAGATATATGTTTGCGACTCTTGCCTGGTATGATATCATACGCTATGGTATAATAGTGGAGTTCCACCAGGCGAAGTTGTTTCTGTTTTCTGTTTTCTCCTTCCCATCAATTGGGGCTCGCTTTGGTTATCGAAGCGTGGACTGTGGGGGGCGTGAAAACTGCTGTCGAATAATGGTGAATGTTGGGTGAGTGATGTTTGGTGATGTTCGGGACTGGGGGAATGGGAAATGTCCGAGTGTATGATATGATAGTAGTGGATGGAATGTGTGATAAGCGTCCTGTGCCGAAGGGATTGTGAATTGGGTGGGTATTCTTCTCGCCTTTCTGCCTTTGGGGCTAATCATCGTTGCTCGAGTAGTTTCGCGCTTTCATGGGTCTGCCTTTTTTCTTTCTTTCTATTTTTTGGAAAGAAAAAGAGCTTGTGTTTTCGGACAGTGGGCTCGGATCAAAGGCAGAAACCTATTACGAGGCGGCGGGGGGTACGGGTTGAAGTTAATGAGAAAAGAATAAAGGTGTGATCTCATAACATTTTACACCGGGGGACTAGCTTTTGAATTAGAACTTGCAATCGTGTTGGGCCTTATCGTGGGTTGGTGTATAACCCTCTAGTTCTATTCGGGGTTTATCAAAACACCCAAGGATCGGGGGAAGGGTAAGCATCAGCCAACACGATCCCTCTCCTCCTACTGCTTCAAGCGAGGGCGTCTAATAATAATACATGTTTATCTCTAATGCAATTCCCATCAAACCTCCCAAACTCCAATATTTACTTACTGACACACAATAACCTGTACATAACAAACGAACAATGTCTACAACGGTGGTAGAGGGTTTCTGCCCCAGGTTAGTTGAAATTACGTATTGTGATGAGGTAGGGGATTTTCTGTACCTGCAATTAGGACACTGCAATCTGAACCGCATCCACCCTTCAAGACAATTTGAATGGAATACGTGACGGCAGGGGGTAACCATGTAACTTCTCCTTCCTAGGAAACCGACGCTGCTCGGGCCACTGCCTGCGTCGCGGTCATTGGATATTGTCGGGACCTCGACGGACTGCATGCAGATTGCGCAGTCGAAAAAGCGGGTGTTGGGGAGGAGAGCGGTCGCGTCTGTTGGAGGAGGAGAGGGAAGTTGTGGTTCGGCGGCTTCTAGATCGTCGATGGGAAGGATTGGGTGGTAGTCGTAGGCGGGGGGGAGGAGCTAGAATGATATCCAATTAAGCAATCGGCAGATTTCACTGGTGCGGGGGTGGAGGGGTTACATTGGAGGGGATCAAAACCCGTGGGCCAAATAACTGTTGGCTCAGTAGCAGGAATACTTGAAACCAGACCCAACCAAGGACAACGGCTGCGGATTTATAACTTGGTTCGAGGAAAAATATGTTTCCTTTCCAGCAGTAGAGATATAGGCCCGGCGCGACTCTGCAAATGCTCATTCCGATCACGAATTCCCATGTGAGTGCCTTCCGGCATCCACGGATTACGTTTCTGTATATTTGTGGCACCCAGTAACTATTTGCAAGCAGGACAACTGTATTGACGAACAGGCCTCGGAAGAGTGGCGGCCAACTAGCGGCGTGTAAGGAGACGAAGAAGGAGCCGAGAAGTACGAACAAGAAGCGGGGATACAATGTGCCGATATCCTGTCGACCATCGTCACCCGTATCGTTAATGTCTTGATTGGGCGGCAATATTATCGGTGCTTGTGGCATTGCGCTGGCGGGCAATGGAAGAGAACTTGCTGAGTAATCTACAGCTGGGGTGACTGCAGGTGGTGTAGACTGTGCTGGCCGGTTTTCAGGGCGCTGAATTCGACGGATGATCATCAAGAAGCGCATTCCGAAGATGGATCCGAGGAGGAAGGAGAAGAAGGTCACCGGGGACAAGGCTAGGTAGCATGAATCTATTATGCGTGAGTGTCTAAACTGTTCCAGGTGGCGGCTTTCCATTTGGCATACCGATAAGCACAGTTGCTCCCAAAAAGGCAAGCGCCATATAACCATCGACTATACCCATCATTGCAATTGTCCAGAAGCTAACTCTGCTCACTGTACTCGGTGTGTTACTCTCATTCATCTGCCGAATCAGCAGCAAAATCTGTGCACATGTGATGACCGCAGCGCACAATGCAAAGTTGATTGCCTTGCGGAAATATGTTTCAATCTTGATGCCCTCAGCCTTCTTGACACTAAGAACATGACCACATGAGGGAGAATATATAATTCCGGAGATGACGATTGGTGGTGCATCAGGGACTGGAGCACCGGTGGGGTGTCGCAGTTCCTTTTCGATGTGTTGGAGTGTTTCAGGGCTTATGTATGGTGGATATGGTGTGTTGAACGAGAGGAACGGGTGAGAGGTGAGCACTGGCTGGACAGGATGTAGCTGGAAATATACGATATACTCACACCGAGGTTTCTCGTTGGCAGCCTGATCGGGAGAGCGTTGCCAAGGAGAGTTAGTTAGGGCTGTATCCTTCTGCTTTTTGATTGCGGTGGCGATGGAGTCCAGGAGAAGGGCCTTGGATTGGTTATAAGCGTTCTCTGTGAGTGTAAAATGAGGAAGTGCAAATATTCCCGCAAACCTATAGAGAATAATCAACACCACACCACAGCCTACAGGTTTTATCAGGGAACTAACTTATCAGACGTCGTGGTCATCAAAATCTCGCCAGACTTGGTGAAGTGGATCCCACTTAGGCTTATATCTTTCATATCTCCACCTTCTTCGTTCTTGATAACCATTGTAGCTGTCATCTCTTGTACCTCTCCGGGCCTTTTCTTTTCTTCGATAGTGAAAACAAGCTTCCCGTGATTAGCTGTGACGTTTTTGTCATAGGTCAGGTTCGTCTGTGGCGCTTTAACATCTAAGAAAAGCCGATCCCATGCTCCATGTATGGTCCCAGTAGCATTTTGGTATATCGAAGGAAGCCGCGTAAACACGGATGTAGGGTCCAAGCTACGGCCTTCCCCGGGAGCTTCAGAACCTTTAGCATTGCCCCCTTCTTCAACTATCTCAGCTTCAGGGCCCGAATCTCCCCGAGGAGTTTCTCCAGTAACCGCCGTTGGCGGCCGCAGGCCACCTGCCTGTATTCCCTCCAGGAAGTATTCCCCAAGAACTTCTTTCTTTAGTGATCCAACTAACTCCCTTACAGGTTCGGGTGGTATTCGGTCATGCGTGAAGTTTATCCCCGTAAGGTTCCCTGGTACTCCGTAAGTTGAGTTTCGTAAAATTTCGAGCTGCTCCCTTTCTCGAATGATTATCTCGTCGAGGCCGTAGCTGCTCTGCGGCGAGTGTCCATCGGGTGCAAGAAGAATGATAATTATTAGAACGAAGAGAACTTTGGCTCGGGATTGATCCATCAAGCTTTTCCGGTTATCTCAGGAATGGTAGAGCTTGAGGTCCGTGTTTGCTTCAAGGAGCTACTGACACCATGGGTAAAGTTGTCGTTCAAAATTACCGAATCTGGCTAGGTGTCTTGTGTTACTCATTACCCTAAGCCCTTACAGAACGGTACCGTACGATACTCTCAGGGGACCCTGCAGCACTCATTTGGAAGTGCATGGAACGAGGAGGGCACTACCGGTACTTGAGTAGGCTCTGCCCACGCAGCCCATGAAGGGTTCCGAGTATGATGTGATAATCCCTCTGATTTTATCATTTTCGCCCATGGATACAGTATACTTAAAGATGATACTGGAATGCCTGAGGAAATCTATTAAAGGTTCCTGTAGGCTAAGTTAAAGCTATAATACCCGTGATTATTTTGTCTCGCTCAGCACGCTCTTTTTCAACGTGGCCACGATCCCAGTTCGGGGACCGGATCTGAAGATCCCCAGACTCTTTCTGAAAAGCCCCTCCAGAAACTGTGGGTGCTGGCAGGTGCCATGAAGAACGGGCATTATACCACATAGGTACCTTGCCAGATCAAGTGTGGGAATATACGTAGCAACATCCGACCAGCCATCTCAGGGGGAACACACGATCTCTCCTTTTCAGGACTACGGTACTCGATAGAACGCGCCGCCGGTGGTATAAAAACTAAACCAAATCAATAAGTCGAGTAAGATTAGATACAACTCACTGCTCGCTTATCCCCCCACAGTACTTGGGGGAAAGCACGAAGTGTAATTGGCATTACAGTGTGTTGAGATCGTGGACAGCACCAGAACTTAAGCAGGCCAGCCTACGGTATGTTCTAGCCACTTTTGTAGGGTGCATAGGCGCCCCACTGTGGCGTTGACACCCCGCTTAGTTATCTGAGTTCGTGGCGTGGGGAAGGCTCTGGAATGGATGAGCAATGTCGGTTCAAGGGCTGGTTTGGAAAGGGTCTCAAATTAGAAATGACTTGTATATAAATCTGTTCTTTCGGAGAACAAAAGCTCCCCCCTGGATGATTCTAAGCGCAAGCTAGGTTCGTTACATACCATCTCTTGGATTCGGTGGGGTTCGGAGGCTGAGGTAACCTGACTACATACTTTGAACTCGCTGCCTTCTCAACTTCACACCTACCATCCTGCCTCTTCTCTCCGTTTTTTCCCCTTCCACTCCATCTCTCTCCCATCCATCAGTACTACTATCATACCATACCTCACTTCATCCCTCAAGTTCTATCTATCTCATTTACTTCTTCATTTTTCGTAGACAAGATGGCCGATCACGAAGAGAAAAAGAAGGTTAATCTAACGTAAGTTACCTCCATTAGTATTTGCCATCCCCCATCCTCAGCCTATTGAGAAGAACCGATCAGTTTCCTGAGAAGATTCATCAACTAACATCTCTCTTTTCCTATTAGCGATGCCTCAGGCGCCATACACAAAGAGGTATAAATTTGTCTACCGATTATCGGCTTAGCATGTGGTTGAGTTTGACAAGAGCTTTGCTGAGTGGTTGAATATAGGCGGACGAAACTGCGACTGCAATCTTAAAGAAGAAGAAGAAGCCAAATAGCTTGATTGTTACTGATGCTGTTAACGATGATAATAGTTTGTTACCCTAGCTTCGAGTTTTCGTGTTTGAGAATTAACTCTAATGGCGTCCTAGGTATCATTGCTCTGTCTAATAATACCATGGAGACGCTTCAACTGTTTCGTGGAGATACTGTTCTCGTCAAAGGAAAGAAGCGGAAGGACACAGTCCTTATCGTTCTGGCCGACGATGATCTTGATGATGGATCTGTGAGAATCAATCGCGTCGTTAGAAATAACCTCCGAGTCAGACTGTTTGTCCTCCCCGCGTGACCCCGAAATCTATTTCGAGAGCTAACATAGGCGTAGTGGCGATGTCATTACCGTACATCCATGTCCCGATATCAAATACGTATGTTTGAATCTCCCGTCTGTATGCGATGGCTAGTGGCGATGCTAAGTATTTGTCCTTAGGCGAAACGTATCGCCGTTCTCCCGATCGCGGATACAGTTGAAGGCTTGACTGGATCTCTGTTCGATGTCTACCTAAAGCCGTACTTCCTTGAGGCCTATCGGCCTGTGCGTATGGGTGATCTGTTCACTGTTCGCGGCGGTATGAGGCAGGTTGAGTTCAAGGTTGTGGAACTTGACCCGCCGGATTACGGAATTGTCGCTCAAGATACTGTTATTCATTGCGAGGGCGAGCCCCTTAACCGAGAAGACGAAGAGGGAAACCTCAATGAGGTTGGGTACGACGATATCGGTGGGTGCCGAAAGCAGATGGCGCAAATCAGGGAGCTCGTTGAGCTGCCACTCCGACATCCTCAACTATTCAAGAGCATTGGTATCAAGCCACCACGTGGTATCCTCCTTGTAGGCCGCTCTCTCACGAAATGTTGTTTTCTCGTTTACTAATTGTTTAACTAGTATGGACCTCCGGGCACCGGTAAAACTCTTATGGCCCGCGCTGTTGCCAACGAGACTGGGGCATTCTTCTTTTTGATAAATGGCCCCGAAATCATGAGTAAAATGGCCGGGGAATCAGAATCCAACTTGCGTAAGGCCTTCGAGGAGGCAGAGAAAAATTCCCCCGCAATCATTTTCATCGACGAGATCGACTCGATTGCTCCCAAACGCGAAAAGACCAACGGCGAGGTTGAGCGAAGAGTTGTTTCGCAATTACTTACCCTGATGGATGGAATGAAGGCTCGAAGCAACATTGTTGTCATGGCTGCCACGAATCGGCCAAACTCTATTGACCCTGCTCTTCGTCGGTTTGGGCGATTTGATCGTGAGGTCGATATTGGTATCCCTGACCCAACCGGGCGTCTTGAAATTCTCCAGATCCACACCAAAAATATGAAGCTCGCCGAGGGTGTAGATCTCGAACAAATTGCGGCAGAGACGCACGGTTATGTTGGTTCCGATGTTGCTTCCCTCTGCTCCGAGGCAGCTATGCAGCAAATTCGTGAGAAGATGGATCTCATTGATCTCGATGAGGACACTATCGATGCCGAGGTTCTTGACTCTTTGGGGGTTACCATGGAAAATTTCCGATTCGCCCTTGGTGTTAGTAACCCGTCCGCCCTCCGCGAGGTTGCCGTGGTTGAGGTACCCAATGTTCGTTGGGATGACATTGGAGGATTGGAAGAGGTCAAGCGCGAGCTCATTGAGTCCGTGCAATACCCTGTGGAGCACCCCGAAAAGTTCCTCAAGTTTGGAATGTCCCCATCTCGTGGTGTTCTGTTTTACGGCCCCCCTGGCACCGGTAAGACCCTTTTGGCGAAAGCAGTTGCGAATGAATGTGCTGCAAACTTCATTTCCGTCAAAGGTCCTGAACTTCTTTCTATGTGGTTCGGTGAATCTGAAAGCAATATTCGGGATATCTTCGATAAGGCGCGTGCTGCGGCACCTTGTGTTGTATTCCTTGATGAGTTAGATTCAATTGCCAAGAGCCGTGGCGGATCTGTGGGCGATGCCGGTGGGGCCAGCGACAGAGTGGTGAATATGCTGTTAACGGAATTGGATGGTATGGGTGTTAAGAAAAATGTTTTTGTCATCGGAGCTACCAATCGTCCCGAACAGGCAAGTTTCACCGTAGTCCACCTATTTAGAATTATTTCGCTAACAATGCGTAGTTGGACGCTGCACTTTGTCGTCCAGGTCGTCTCGACACTTTGGTCTACGTGCCTTTGCCAAATGAGGCTTCCAGGGCCGATATTCTTAAGGCTCAACTCAGGAACACACCTTGTGCCCCCGACATTGACCTCAAATACATTGCATCTAGGACTGTGAGTTTGCCTCCCACTTATTTTTTTAAATGCTCTGGCTGACCCTTTTCAAGCACGGTTTCTCCGGTGCTGATTTGGGCTTTATTACACAACGTGCTGTCAAATTGGCAATCAAGCAAGCTATCACTGCTGAAATCGAGGCCCAAAAGGAGAGGGCTGAGAGAGGCGAGGGTACCGATACTGAGATGGTAGAAGCCGAAGGGGATGATCCAGTCCCAGAGCTCACCAAGGCTCATTTCGAAGAGGCCATGGCAGTTGCCAGACGTTCAGTCACTGAAGTTGAGGTTAGGCGTTACGAAGCCTTTGCTCAGAGTATGAAGCAGTCAGGCGGCATGAGCTCATTTAGGTTCCCAACTGCCGAGGAGGTTGGCGGCGGGGGTGAGTCAGGGTTTGGGCAGGCTGGCGAAGATGACGATCTGTACAATTAAACAGGTATTCTCTGGCTGGTTTCCTGGGGGGTGGGAGCAGCATGCGGTACAATTAGCACGCTGGGGAAGATGTGATTCGTTGGGGCAATCTGGGTTCGTTTCTTGTTTGGAAAATCATGTTCGATATAAAATGAGCTTTTCCTTGCTGCATGAAGTTTCGATCCTTCATGAACTCGTCCTTGTGTTTTTAGCTTTTCTGGTTTTACGGCTCGTTCATGATAATGGAACACTTTGATGATATAGAAACCTTGACTTTCCCATGCGGTACAGCAATGCTTCTCGTGAAATGTAGGTTTTGCGATTTTCCTCGCTCTCCAGGGATAACACCACCCACACACCAAACATCATATTACTCCGTCCCACATAAATAAAAAGAGGAAAAGGTCAAAGGAAAGAACAATCTATGTATACTTTGAAGCTTCGCCTGGTTTCCATTTAAGTTACAATTAGCAAAGTCATGCCAAACGCTCATCTATAGTACAACTAATAATACATACGTACGCTAATCACCTACTCCCCACCCCCAATCTCAACAAGTATATAAACAAACAGAAAACAATTTCCACAGACCGATTTTTTTGTTTTAAAGAAAAATGGAAAAAAAAGAGAGAAACAGGAGATGGAAAAAGGTGAAGCCTGCCAGATTGATTCGTAAAGCGGATTAAGCACAGAGTGGAGAACTGTAGATGACTACCCAAGTGAAGTTAATTCGGAGGAGGGGGTTCATTGTGCCCCTGGGGGCTTAGGCAGACCCTTTAAATGAAAAGATCAGTACCAGACGCTGAGTGAGTAAGCTCGTATATAGGGGAATAAAGTACCTCGGTAAAGATTTTACTCAGACTCGTCTTCATCATTTCCGCCGCCTCCTTCTCCATCTTCTTCTGCTCCTGGAGCATTTCCTCCTTGTGGTCCTCGATGTGCTTCTGCATATCGTGGTAGCCTTGCAAACCGCGTTCCCTGGCCAGGTCTATGAACGTCTTTTCCTCATTGGCGGACTGCCTGTTCATTCCTAGTGCGCCGAGTAGGGCGCCGCCGGCGGTGCCCCTGCGACCCTTGCGCTGCTCCTCCACGCGCTTCATATGTTCTGCGCGCGCGGCCGCCTCGCGGCGGGAGAATTCGGTGGGGACGTGCTTATCGCCGAAGCTCTTGATCACGGGCCTGACATCGGAGATGCCCATCGCAGCGATGTATTCCAGGAATGGGATCAGGGAAATCAGCTCTTTGTCTTTCGGATCGCCGTCCCAGGGCTTCATCTTTATCGTGTTGTTTGGGTTCTCGGACCAAGCGTCGGGGTTCGCCTCAAGCATTACGACTTTCGATAGGTCACGGTTAAGGTAGTTGAGGTCCTTGATGTACTTCCCGTCCTTGTAGCGTGTGTGCGCGCGGAAGAGCGGGTACATGATGTATCCTGGGTACTGGTCCATTTTCTGGATTATAGGGGCGGCGGTTTGTTCGTGCTGGCTTGTAAAGACTACTACTTCGTAGTATTGGAATAGGTAGGCGAGGAAGTAGTCTAGACCTGGACGCTTCGCGATTCTCCACCCGTGCTCGCGGTCCCAGGTGCTGTGCACGCAGACATCCTCGAGGGAAATGACAAGCGTGTAGGGGCGCGAGTAGTCCGGCAGTGGGTCCGGCAGGAGCTTCTCGAAGGGTGGCTCGTTGTAGAAGTTTAGGAGGTCGTTCGTTCGCGCCCTTAATCGTGCATAGAAGGCGGATGCTCCCCAGCCCTGTTGGAGGTCTTTGTAGTACTTCCTTTCCACATCGTCTAATTCCCGGCCCATGTAGAGTGTACCGCCGATGAGAGAGACTATGAATGAGCCGAACACAACTCGGGCTAGACGTTCCCGCTTTCGATCTGTGGAGGAGACGTACGCAGATTTGGGTAGACCCTCTCCCCTCCCCAGTCCTCCACCACTGCCTGCCTTTCCTCCGCTTCCTCCGCCGCCGGAGCTAGCCTTCTCGGCCTTCTCGGCCTTCTCGGTTTCCTTCAGAAACAATTCCAGCTCCGGGAGCTGTGATTCCAGTGGCGGGGGGTTGGACGTCGAGCTCGATGGGGAAGATTCCTGTGGCGGTGTGGGTGTGGAATCCGAAGAGAGCAGGGAGGCATTTGCATCTGCGGGCAAAATTGGGTTGGAATCGGTAGCGGGAGAGTCTTGGGGATTCTTCCCTGGGGGCTGCTGAGTTGAGTATCGGTACTGTAACTGATAGTGGGGTGATCTTGAAATTGGCGGGGCAATGCGGGGAGTCAGCAAGAGCGGTCTGGCTCCCAGCAACGAGCGATTGAGTGCCCTTCTGAGCATCATGGCAAGTCAGTTTGGCAGTCCTTGGCACTCTATGAAAATTGTCGGATACTGGTAAATGCGGGCCTGATCAAACTGGAAGGGGAGAAAGAAAGTAATTGTGGGTTCGGGAAAAGAAAGATGGATGGATGACAACATTAACATTTTTTTTATCATTGGCGGCCCCCCCGATTTCTAGAACCATATAACGTGGCTTGGCGCCCTTTCCCCATCAAGTTAGGTTAAGCCTACCCCCCACCCCCGACGTGTGTACTCGAGTACTCGAGTAACTCTCACAGAGGCTGATTGCTCTTCCCTTCCCTTTTCTCTCGAGATTTTCACCCGTCCACCGCCCCCCTACCCAATGCGCCTGAAGTCGCTTTGCTCTTACCACTTTAGTTCAACGTCCCTTAAGTCAACCCCGCCCCACTCAATTGCACAATACAAATCATGTCTTCCTACGTCCTCGCCCAAATCTACCAATTAATCCTCAACCTTGTCGGCGGTGGGCCAGGCCCTGTATACCCTGCTCGCAGAAATATCCGCATTGGAAGCAGGAAGTCCAAACTTGCCTTGGTCCAGACACATCTTGTTCGCGATGCTTTACAGGCTGCCTATCCGGACACCAACTTTGAAATCATCGCCATGACCACCACCGGCGACAACAATCAGATGAAGCCGCTACATAGTTTCGGGGCGAAAGCACTGTGGACGCAGGAGCTTGAGGTGCTGCTGCTAGAGAATAAATTGGAGATGATTGTACATTCGCTCAAAGGTTTGATGTTTTTGCTTCCGCGATTCTTTTTCTGGGGTGGTTCGTGGCTAATGCGAAGATCTAGATATGCCGACACAGCTCCCGCATGGGTGTAAGATTGGAGCCATACTTGAACGTGAAGGTATGCTTCCTGCTATCGCAGCCACCTCAACCCCCACTACCACCCTGCTAACTACCCGGATAGACCCTCGCGATGCCCTAGTCATGAAGGCCGGCTCGAGCTACAAATCCCTAGAGGACCTACCGGAAGGGAGCGTAGTCGGCACTTCCTCCGTCCGGCGCAGTGCGCAAATCAAGAAGCGGTACCCCCACCTTAACTTCGAGGACGTCCGTGGTAACGTCGGCACCCGGCTCGCAAAACTCGATGACCCAGCGTCCTCCTACACCTGCCTGATCCTCGCAGCCGCGGGCCTCACAAGGCTCGATCTGGGAGAGCGCATCACTGGTTACCTCTCCTCTCCGTACCTCCTCCATGCCGTTGGCCAGGGAGCGCTAGGTGTCGAGATCCGTGACGGTGATGAGGGCACTGCGAAGATGCTTGAAGTGCTGGCCCATAAGGAAACCACCCTCTATTGCCTCGCTGAGCGCTCGCTCATGAGGACGCTAGAAGGTGGCTGCTCCGTTCCCATAGGCGTGGAAACTGAGACCGCCACGGATGGGCAGATGCTCATGAGGGCTGTTGTCGTCAGTCTTGATGGCCAGAACTCGGTTGACATAGAGGAGCGGATGGAAGTCGTGGATGAGGAAGCAGCTAACGATTTCGGCAGAGTCGTAGCAAGGAAACTCGTCGATGCTGGAGCTGGGGATATCTTGAAAGGCATTAATCACAACAAGGATTTGGTGGATACTTGAATTTGTAAACTAAATAATCGGTTTTACGATAATTACTTTTATCCATCCCATCCTTTTTTTTTTTTTTTTACCTCCCCCTTCGCATCCCCCCCCCCCTCCCGCCCTCCTTCTCCTGGGTGTGGCCTTTTATGGCTGGCCACGGGTGTCGGGGACCTAGAAGAGAATAGGAGATTGGTGAGAGTCGTTGTGACAATACAGGAATAATAATTATAATAAAAGAGCGAATACACTGCATACCGGTGTTTACCTCTTTACCATTACCTCAGGAATAACTTAAAAAAAGAATTTTTTTTTACTATAACTCGCAGTCAACCCCCTACCATACCACAGACTACCGCAGATAAAGGGGGTGAAAGAAACGGACCAGAAAATGCACGCCAAAACAAGGCCCATCACACCCCATCACTCACCCAAACCATCGATCGACCCGATACCAAAGAACCGCAACCACATTACCTATACACCAGCATCATACACAACACACACTAAGGCTCCCGAAACACTCAGATTAATCCTCAGCACGGACAGCATACCAGCAAACTCAATCCTCAGTGTATCGCCTCATGATCCGCACAACAAAAGAGAAAAGAAAAAGAAAAAAAAGTGAGAAAGTAAATAAGGTATCAATCATAGAGTACTAGTATATAATTACTTAATTAATTAATACCCGGATAGTCTACGGGGAGCCGGGCGCAGAGACTCTATAATTAGGGAAGGGAAGGGGAGGGGAGGTATCATACACTGCAACCACTCTCTAGAAAGACCAAAGCGACTTCCAGTGTAAAGGTTGAATCAGCACTTGGAAACGGACGCAGCGTGCTAGGTTAGTCCAGTCACTGATTTGATGGGTGAAGAGCGTGTGGAAGGAGGGAAGGAGGGAAGGAACGAAGGAAGGAAGGAAGGAAGGGGGGGCGAACAACAGACAAAAGCTCTGGTGGAAAACGTCGAATTTGGTCTATCGCCTTTTGTCCCCTCAACCATGTTGTCAAACCCATGGGGTGGCCGTAATGGCAATACACTTTTACCGATATGATATGAGATTGCGATAGGTGCGATCGGAATTGTGGCCCGAACCCCACACCCAGGAACAATTCTCCGTGCTCATAGGCTCTCCGAGCACACGGGAAGAGGTGGGTAGCCAAGGCGCTGATCCTCGCCCAGACCTATAATCATGCATTATCACTCGGCTACAGGTCGAACACCCATTTCAGACAGAAACAACCCCATCCAAACAAATCTATTCCAATGCAAATCCTGTGCCAAGCTCATACAATTATAGAAACAAGAGAAAAAGATAGAAAGAGAAGAAGAAAAGGGGTTAATCCCCGGCGAACACGCACACGGCACATGAAAGAAGAAAAAAAAATTGAAACGAATTATCAAGAGCACTGCTAGCCCGACAAACAATACCTAATGGCCCATCCCTTTAACGTGTGCGTCGTAGTCCTCCTTGCTCATGAGCGCCTCAATATCCTCTGGATCATCAACCTTAATCTTGCAAATCCATCCATCGCCTTCGGCGCTCTTATTGATCAACTTGGGGTTGTTCCCGAGCTCGTTGTTAGCCTCAACAATGGTGCCGGATAGGGGGGAGAGAATGTCGGACGCGCTCTTGACGGACTCGACGGCGCCGACCACCTCCCCTGCTTCGACCTCAGCGTCTGCCCGCGGGAGCTCGACATATACAACTTCGCCCAATGCTTTTTGGGCGTATTCGGTGATACCGACAGTAGCTGGTAGTTCCCCTCTGTCAGCCTGCGAGCGCCCGATGGAAGGGAGGAGAGTAGGAACCAGTGCTGCTGCCAAATTCGGATAGAAGGACCCATTCGTGGTCCTTGGTGTATTTCTTAGACACTATGCGACATTTCCAATCAGCCCTTCTTTCCTCTTCTGATTTTACTCCCGTCAGAACGGGGGACCGGGGACGGGGTGGTAGCGAACTGAAATAATTTCCCACGGTAAAGTTCCTCCTGTGAACCACTACTCTTGTAGTGTAGGCTGGTTTGAAAACCGGCCTGGTGAGCAAGGAACGGAGGAGCGAGGCCATTTCGGACGAAGTTTGTATGGGTAAGATGAAATTGTGGCTGCTGTTACTATTCGGTGAATTATTGTGAAGAGGGAGGATTGGGTGGGCGGGATTGGGTTGGGTGGGCCTCTGGAATCCGAGTTTCAATTCAAGGAGGAAGGGGAAAGAGGGTGAAGGAAACAAACGAACCCCCCCCTCCGGCGGTTTGTAGTACGGCCTGTTTCCGATCTCGGTAAAAGAAGGAACGTATCACGTGGGTGGGCCAAGCATCGCAACAGTCCGTGGTTGATAGCAAGAATTAACTTACCCGACCCAGCGTAAAAACTACAGCATCCGGCATCTCCCCAACCACAGGTAATCGGGCAATCCATTTTTTACCACATTCAGCAGACAACCACCCCCCCCCCCCCCAGCCAGCGGACCTATCCCACTATCCGATCTTACACAGTCCTCCCAAAATGCTATACGAGCTCGTCGCAGTGGTCTATCATTCCCAATTCCTCTTCTCTCGCCCTCCCGTCACCTACTAATAGATAGCCAACATTCACAGGTCCGGCCAACCTCCCTCAATGAAATCAAAGAAATCGCTAAATCCGCTGGCATGACTGTATTACAAAACGGCGGAGTCGTCCGCGGATACACCTACTGGGAGAAACTCATGCTGCCAACCCGTCGACGCGCGCATTTGGTGTATCACACCCATGGCCATTACTTCATCATGAGATTCGATTCCAACTCGCCGACCCAGCATTTGATTCAGCGTACATTGCGATTGGACCCTCGGATGATTAGTTTTAGCGTCGTCAAGATGGGGACAAAGTTGAAGGATGTTGCCGAAGTTAAAGGGAAGACTTGGGATTTGGACCTGGGCACCTGAGGTAGCGGTAACGTTAATACGAGCGGCAATGCGTGTATTATATATATAAGCTTTGGGAAATTCGATCCTAGAAAGATGGACTTTTTTTTTGCTATGGCGTCCGGGGTGTAAGAATTAAGGGAGGGAGCTGGGTTGATGAGGTAATTGCTCTCTTCAAGTATCACATACCGGTGGCGGGAGGACTGGGTACAATCAAGATCGAATGCCACTAAAGGCCTTAGTGATGTCAATGGGTCTATAAAGAAGCTGAAATTTTGTTCTAAGGAAAATTATCATTCCAGCAGTCCCGCGCCAACCCCAAGCCATGGGAAAGGAGAAAAACACATTATGAAGAGAGAGAGAGAGAGAGAGAGAGAGAAACATATTATGAAGCGAGAGAGAAGAAAAAACACCAAGATAGAGTCGTTGGCATTCCATCCTTAAAATCTAATCACTCTACAGGTAGAGACTAGGGTCCCATACCGACGCAACCCAGAAAAGAAATACCGAAAGCACAAAAACCTCAGACGTTTTGATAAATCCCCCCTGGAAAGCAGATTTAGGAAAAAAGAATGAAAGAAATCCACGTACCAGAAATTCCCCCATCCTCTAATGACAAACACAACTGCCATGGAAAAGAGCTACAGAATTCTCAAAAATAATCAAGCCCACGAGACGAATCAACACGGATATGATAAGAATATAAGGGGTGATGATTGAAAAGAAAGCTGTAGGTGAATGGTCCCCTATATCAAGAAAGAAGAGAAAGAAATACATGAGCTACTATAAGTGCGAGGGCAGCAATGTGCCGCGTAAACAGGCCAGACAGGCAACAAAAGTCTCAGCAGATCAAACGGAGGTGTGGCCAAATATGCCGTCTGAGCCTACCTCTGTGGTGTAGAGCTGCTATTCGCCCTCAGGACATTGGGGCAGTTGGTCGGCCCAAGTGTTCCGTGTTCGGAGATGACAGCTTTGATATACTCAGCCGGGGTAGTGTCAAACATAAAACTAGAAAGGCTGGTAGTGGGCTGGTTACGCCAGCCCCCGAAGATCCCGCCGTTGTCGCAATTATTGTCAGGGGCAATTATATCGGTGTCACCTATTCGCGCATTGTCAGCATAAGCAAGGCAGAAACCAAAGAAGCATTATTACCAAATTCGTTCCCAATAATTCCACCCGAGGTAAACTTCTCCGAGAACTTAATGCTCTCACAGCAAATTATCACAGGGATCCCTTTCTGGGATGCAGAGCGGGCAATTTTGGAACATCCAGCACGCGAGTGGAGAGACCCATTTGCCTGAAGGGAATGAGCCCCCAGAAGAACTCTTGTGACACCGCCCATATAATGATCGACAAACGTCGTCTTGATATACTCAACATCAACCCCAGCTCTCACCAACGTGGCCAATAGATTCTTTCCTTCAAACAAATGACTACTATCTGCCACAAGTACCTTGAAGTTTGTTCCGCGAGAATGTGCTTCGAGTAAAGACTTCTCAATCACTGAGGACTTGGAGAAGGTAAGGATCGTGTCGCCTTCGTTGATGTAGCGAGCGGCGGTGGTATTCACGATCACCTCACTAGCGGCAGTGATACGCTCGCGAATGAAAACATCAATCTTCTCACAGAGAAGCTTCTTCGCTGCTTCTTCCGAGAGCTCAGGGGAAACAGCAGCAATTTCAGTCTTAAGCCAGCGGATCGAATTTCCTAGGGCAGTCGACATCGGACGCGCGGAGATGAGGTAATCGATCTGGCGAGAAAAGTAGTGGCCAGGAAGGTGGCGACTTATGGTCGCTCCAGCGGGGCACTCATAATCATTAATTAGCTGTGATAGAGTCATTAGATGGTTCTCAAGCTACAGCTTCCCGGGATCCAAAACGAGTGATATATTATGATAAGAGTAACGGGAAGCAAACCTACTCGTTTCATTGCCAGCATAAATCCCAAACACCGAGCACTGCTTCCAACAAGGATAAATTGGTTCATCTGCACGCCCAGTGTAAGAATAGCGGGGTGAACATCTGGATGAGCATTGTTTATCCCAAACCCAGGCTTCTTCTTTTTCTCGTGCTGCTCGATCTCCAACTCTCTCATAAGACCCGGAAGATCCTTATCCCTTGCCCCGGGAACGGCTTCCTGCTCTCTCCCCCCAGTGTGAACTTTGCTGGGCTGTTGGCTATAAATTGTCTTGACAATGCCAGAGTCATGTGCCGCGGTAGGTTGGATTCCCCTTTTCCCCTTACCTTGAGCCTCCTTTTTCGGTGGTTGAGGTTTTTGCGGGCGCTGAGGAGCAGCAGCAGCAGCAGGGGTATCAGATTTAGCTTGCTGACGACGTTCGGCTTTCTCTCGCTTTTTCTTTTCTTTGAGCTCCTTAGCTGAAAGCTTTCCTGTCTCCGGTGTGGCGGATGGCGTTTTCGTTGAGCCTGATGTAGAAGAAGGAAGGGTTTCTTCCGGCGTTTTCCTTTCTGCACCGCTATTGACAGCCAGGGGAGTTCTGGCAGTAGAAAAGGCCTTAATAGCAGTTCCCATTGCGGTATCCGCGGTGGGGCCACGGCTATTTTCCCCAGACATATCACGCAAAGACCGAAAGCAAGAGATAGGAGAATGAGATTGTGACCTTTGTCTAGTGTTTTCGTTGAAAGGAGTGTAGAAGTGGTGCTAGGAGCGAGAGCGTCTGGCGGTTAGTCCACGGTGGGGTAGTGGGGCTGTATGATGCCGAAAGATTCCCAGGGATAAGATTCGATAAGATTCACAGGACGCTAGGCTTGACATCTCATCTTGGCGTCATACCGTTAAGTTCCTGTACGAGTGCTGCCAATAGATTTATTCGTCACGTGAGTCTGATCAGAAATTTTGGTGCACCTTCTGGCTGCGGTGTGTTCTTAGATAAGGCACGTGACGAATATATTTTCAGCCGCACTCTCACGAGTAAATTTGAAAGCAACGGTAAAATGCCAAGCCCCGCTCTAGCCCACCAGCTACGCATACGGCGCTTGTACGAGTACGAGTACAATACCATGCCGCTCTCGCTGAGTGCCTTGCTCAAGGGAGCCCGTATTTACTGCCTAAATCCACCATCGGAGAGTCTCAGAAGGAAATCACTGTCTAAACCTCAATAGGCCTAGCAGGATAGGTTAGCAATATTCCGAATACCAGTTAGTGAAATCCGGAAAGCTCGGCCCCCGAGCTATACTCTATTTGGACAACACATCACTTCCCTTCTCGAGGTGTTTTGTTTCTGATTGGGAAGATCCTAGGATGGGCGATGGTGGATTCAGGCAGTAAATACGGAATTGGTGATTCGACCCGTTTCTCGGCAAAAAATGGGTGAAAACCCTCACTTTTCAATTGTTGGTATCATACGGTAATTCATCGAAAGCAAATGCTCCTGTTCCCATACCGGTATTTTGGCCCCAAAGTCACCCTATATGTGTATGATAGCTACCCGGCACCAACAGTGGGTGCTACAAGCCTGTAAAGTTGTAGTATGGCTCAAAACTCGTCGCTACCGGTGCTTGCACCGGTATTGTCTCTCTGCTACTCAGATGGTTGCCCTGGCAACACCTCATAACAATGATCCGGTCTTTGATGAACTACGATACTACATGATGGGGAGGGGTCGGAAAGACCTTGTAGGGGGTTAGGGGATACCGTATCGGTAATCTTTACGCGCATGTTCAGCTATGATATCATATCATAATTGCCCTTACCCAGCCTACCCAAGGACCGATCACGGATTCAAGAGTCAAACATCGGGTTCTATTGACCCTACCGCACATCTCGCACACTTCAAAAACATCATAATACTCTGGTCGTGAGTGGGAGAGTCGTTCGCGCCCTGAAAGGGAAGGATGGGGGATGGATTCAATCTGGTTTTGCTCACTCGCTAAACTTGGTGCTCTGTCGGTCTCCAGTACTAGTACGAGTACAATATCCTTAGAGAGCGATGACATCCAGTGGCTTTTGAAGGCAGATGAGGGTCCAACGATATTATGTACGAGTACAAACAACAGCGAACAATGTACTTTTTTCCGTGCACACAGTGCTTGTATCATACCAGAACCCACAAGTCCGTCATGGTACAGATCACAGGGCTAGGGTTCTGCATTAGCTGTGTGCCTGCGGTGTTACAGTACTTGTGGGGAGCTTTCGACTTCTGAAGCTGGAGCTAGCCACCGCACAGCTCTCCCCCCAGAAACTCAATCCATATACCGCGGAAGACGAGAAGTCTGCCTCCTCTCTCTCCTTGCCGCCTCACGCCGATACATTTTTCCTTCATTTAACCCACAAATCCTCTCTATCTTCCTCTTTAACGAATCTCATACTTCCCACAGCAAAGTGATTGTTTCGGGTTGTTTGTTTACTATTACACTTGATCCCTGCACCTAGAAACCACGGTAACCATCCAGGAGCAGGGACAATCCGCAATATGACACTTCTTCCCCTCTCATCAAGACAGCAAATATTTTTTATTCTGTGTGTTTCTGCATTCATAATTTTCCTTACAAACTTGACCGTCATCACCGGGGCCGATTATCGGGACGGGATCGAAATCTTGCCAATTCCGCAGTCACTTAAACCTCTTCTGCAGCACAATAAGGTGAAGAAAAAGCACTTATCCTCGGGGTGAAGATGCGTGGGTAGTACCACTAACTTTCACCGCAATTATAGCCTCCGCAACTTAGAATTCATGAGGATAAAGACGACTTTAGCTATAGCTCCGAGAAGGCCGATGGCCATCCTATATCCCAGTTGATGGAAAAGGCAGCAGCGGATTTTGGGCGATATCGAGACTCTCGGTCAAGGACGTTTGCACAGGCCATAACCAGATACCGGAAAAAATATGGGCGGCATCCTCCTCCGGGTTTCGATAAGGCAATTCTTCATTACGATTGCCGCGGGTTCTCATAGCTAATCTGTTGCGTAGTGGTATCGATTCGCCAGGGAACGAAACGTCTACAATATTGACGATTTTGACCAAATTTGGGATGACCTGCGACCGTTTTGGAGCATCCCGCCATTGGAACTGAGGAAGGTGGTAAAGGGGTTGCTGAAAGAGGATCCCGAGAATAGTGGTCTTTCTGGAATTACTGTGCATAATCCACCTTAGAAATTTTCTCCGACTGTCGGCTGACTGTGACACAGATTGAGCACGGCAAGATAAAAGTCACCGGCGGGAACTGGCGCACAGACGAATTTGTGAGGATGCTGAATGTCTTCGTTAAGGAATTACCAGATATACAGATCGCCATGAACAGACTCGACCAGCCAAGAGTGATTGTTGAATGGGAGACATTACAGGAGCATCTCAAGGTTGAGGAGGAAAGTCGTAATCTGGACAGATTAGTTACAAATGGGTTTTCAAGGAGCAGGGGGTTAGGTGGGTTAAATTATATCTTATGCTCCGACATATCTTACATTGCTGATCAGAGCAGATGAATCCATGTCATTCCCAATAGCAGAATGGTTCAGCGCATCAGAGGAACCATACATGAATCTCGCGAGCAAAGCTTGCCCGCCAGACTCTTACGCACGGAATAACATGACCATGGAACCAGCTGTAGCAGAAGAAAAATACAAGTTTCCGAACAGTGGCGGACTAGTCTCCAACTTCAATATATCCAGTGATCTATGCACTATTGGTCCAGCAATCCAAGACCTTCATGGTATGCTGTTTGCTCCTGCTACCATGGTAGCTACAAAGAAACTAGTTCCGATATTCAGTGAATGCAAGGTCAACGTCAATAACGATAGTACGTTAACTAACCCCCTCCTACCTTCTGTTCCATCGATGTTAACAAGCCACTCCAAAAAGTCCTCTTCCCGGCAAACATGTACTACAGCGATGACCCACGTTACACCTACAGCCCAGAGAACGACATGCCCTGGGACGACAAACACACAACCGTCTTCTGGCGTGGCATGACCTCGGGCGGGAGCCAAGAGTTAAATACCTGGCGCCGCCTCCACCGTCACCGTTTCGTCCAACTCGCAAATAGTACTGACCTCCGCAACACAAAAACCCGCCTTGCCCTACCCACCCTAAACTTAACAACCATTCCACCGGCCTACACCGAGATCAAAAACTGGGATCCATCCCCCTTCTCGGAAAAATACACTGACATCGGCTTCCCAGAACTCGCTTGGTGCGTCCCAGACAGAAAATGCGGTTGGCTACGCTCCTTCCTAAAAGAAGTAAACGCAACAACCGCCCTAACGGACCAATTCCTAAACAAGTACCTCCCTGATATCGACGGCCACAGCTTCTCCGGCCGCTGGCATGCGTGGCTGAAAAGTCGCAGTCTAGGGATTAAAGCCACCATATTCAGGGAATGGCATGACAGTCGATTGTTTGCGTGGCAGCATTTCGTTCCTATGGATAATAGATTTGACGACTTTTACTCCATTATCACATACTTTATTGGCCTAGGGAATAGGAAGGGGGGGGAAGAGGTGTACATACCTACTCATGACTCAACCGGGAAGAGGCTGGCTGGGCAGGGGAGGGAGTGGGCTGCGAAGGTGCTGAGGAAGGAGGATATTGAGGTGTACATGTTCCGGCTCATGCTGGAGTATGCCAGGCTTTTGGACGACAGGCGGGAAATGATTGGATATTGGGGGAGTGGGAGGAGAGTGAAGGAGGAGAAGGTGTGGGTGTGGCCACAGTAGTGGTTGATTTTGGGGGTTTCCTGCTTTCCTATTCTCGGTTGGGGCGTTGCTTTTTGGGTTTCCTTTTCGGCTTCACTTTCTCTCCCCCTCCCCCCCCCTCCTTCGGGAGCGGGCGAGGAGGATGGCACATTTTCGGGCTTGCGCATGATTTGTACAGATGATTGTATAACAGATGATTGTATATACCAATGAGCAGTAATATATACGTGTTGGTCCGATGATAAACCTGGTATGATATGCGTAGCAGGAGACGGGGGATCGCAAGCGCCTCTTTTTTTTTTCGTTCCTCCTTTATCTGCTTACTCCCATTGCCCCCCCCCCGCCTCGTTTTGTGCATCCTTTCTGACCCCGCGATGTGATGGGTGGAGTATCGCGTACCGGTATTGCACTCCGAGGCAGCCACGCCCCAGCCCATCCCAGCCCATTCAACTATCCCATGCCGTGTTTCATTTTCAAAACGAGTGATAATAAATGACTCGATGCCGATACAAATTACCGGCCGAGTGCACCTAGAGAATAAAGGTAAAAATGTAAGGTATGATATTCATGATATCATAATATTATCAGGGAGGAGGAGAGAAAGAGCAATCCTATTGCATCCACTACCGGTACTCGAACACAACCTCCCACTCGAGCCTTAGCCAGAAGTCCATTATCATATTATCGTGTATCGTTCCTTGCCAGCTCAAGTACTCGATGCGCCGTCCCTAATACTATCCGTACCTTATGTCCCGTACCTTTTCCATGCATGACACCCCCCCGATCATTAAGTCCTCCATTAAATAGTACGTACAAGTGACCAACTAGCGTAAGTTCTGAAAAGAAAGATCCGAAGATCAAAAACGGGGGGGTAAAAGGGATTTAATATAAGAAATATATTATTCAGGACAGTGTTAATATCATACGGGCAACGTCATTCAAGACTTTTTCTCTTTTTCCGAAAGGACTAACTGGTGGGTATGTGTTGATGATATTATATCTTTTTCTTAACCTCTCGTTCGTCTTTGCAGGTGATCTCCGGCTTTGGAGAGCTATTCATATTCTCGTATCAGCACAAACTCATGAGAGGGGGGGGAGGGGGGTGCATACTCTGCCTCAACACTCTCACTACTCTCTTCCTCTTCATCTTCATCATCGCTGCGCTCGTCCTGGGCAATGTTGCTAACGGCATACCTCCACGCAATCTTCAGGATTAGCCACAGCCAGAAGAGGTTCACTGCTTGCAGACTACCCAAAAGACCGCCTGTGATGACCTGTGCGATGCGACATTTGTACACTTGAGTGACCCAGTTGAGTTCCCAGACTCCGACCGTCTCGTATTCCGTGAAAATGGACCAGATGACCTTCAGGTTGATGTAGTGACGCATGTAGATCCAAATGAGAATGAAGAAGGCAAAGTATGGGCCTGTGAATGGGTGATCGAGGTAATTCAGTGTCTTGGAAGTTGCAAGGAAGAAATCTGAAATATCATGGGTGACGAAAACGGCGACTCCGATCCAGGTGAAGTGGAAGCGGTAGGAGAGACCGATGAGGGAGAGGGTCACGATATGGTGCAAAACCAACTCTTTGAAGTCCTTGCGCGGCTTCTCGAGCTGGAGCATCAAGACTATCGCCTGTTGCGACCAGTATGCGGCTTGGAGGAGGTAGTAAGTTTTGAAATCGGCTGTGTGGGTATAGTGCGGGTATCTTTCGTAGAATGCTGTTGTACTAAAGTACCAAATTGGCGTTCTAGACATTACGTATAATCCGAATGGGCCGAAGATAGAGAAATAGACTGCGGTGTAGGTCTGCTCCATGAACCGGGAAACTTTGGACTTCTTGACGATACCACACCAGATTGCTAGCGGCCGCAAGACCTGCTGCATGAGGAACTCACGAGTGAAAGAGAAGAAGAAGGTGTAAAATAGAACAAAGAGAAAGTCGTTCCTCCCTTTACCATACTGCGTCTCCGTGGGCGCGTGTGAGGTGGGATCCGGAGGCTCGGGATAGGATAAGAAAATGCAAGCATGAAAGGGATTCTCGGGGGTGGGGTTTAAGCCGTAAGCTCCGATTACCAGGGCCATAGCCACCAAGGGGTTTACTACAGATCCCAGGTTAAGCTCGTGTTTTGATTCAAATTTTGGGAAGCCGAGGGTGGGCACATACTCCATGTCTTGCGGTAAGAGACCTCGCGGTACCAGGTGAAAAAACTCCGAGCTCGGGATTTCGATGCCGGCCGGGGTTTGGATAAAGCCCTGCGTCGACTTCGTGAAGCGGCCCTCTGGAACGACACAATGTGAGTCTACAGCACCACCACCACCGGGCTGGGGTTTGGGGGAACAAAAAGAGTTATTACCTGCGCGTGGGATGTGCTCATGGTTGATATTCCAGGAGCCGAAGTGTCACCCCGGATGTCCTCCCCCAGGGAAGACGTTCGTCTGGGTCTACCCATACTTTTGTGCCCTACTCCCTATCCAAACCTCTAGGGATCCGAGTTTGCACTCCCTTCAGAGCAATGGGATCCGTAGTTCGTGTCGGTGGGGTCTTCGAACCCGTACGATATGTGTTTTCTGCACCAAGCCTCCTTTTTCCGGTTGACAACAACCCAACAGACGCCAAAGGTAAGGAGGAAACCGAACTCAACGGGAACAGTTCGGTGGAGTCGGACCACCAAAGTGCACAAAGAGAGATAGCGGGGGGAGAGGAAATAAAGAAGGAATGAGGAATGAACACGACAGCATCCCTTTTTCTCTTCCTTTCGCTTCCTCCCTGTTGCTCCACCTCAAAAGGCATTACGGTAGATTACTGTACCATAGTTCCCGTGTGGAAAGGAAATTACCGAGCAAAAGGAACAATTTCGGACTCGTCTAACCCTCTTCACATCATTGCTGGGGGGAAGGGGGCCGAGGCCCTCATTTCTTGGCGCGAAGCCTCTAAAAACCCGAGGAAAGCTTCGGATACACTTTTCCCCGATGGGCCTTGCCCTGCCGTTTTGGGTCAAAAAAAATACTGGGGCGGGGGGATCGAAGTAATCAAGGCTCCTTGCAGGATGCTTGGTGGGAACAGTTAAGGGTGATTGGAAGAGAGGGCAGAGGAAGATGCATGGCTGTATGATAATATCCCGACCACCACAACTAAGCCTCCGCCAACTGACTCAGACAGAAGCTGTCGAAAGTCTACCGCATGGCGCGCCGGTAGAGATGGCCCGATGAGAGGAGTTACTTGTAACGGTATGTCCCATGAATTTCATTTGTCTTGTGCCACCGCGATTTGTTCATTCTCTTCTCTGACACGGGTAAGTTACCGGCACATTTAAGGTGTGATACAGTGCCGTACTGATGCAGTGCCGGTGCACCACAGCACTTGTTACGGCTGACGATAGGGGGCAAGCGAACTCCCCTATGCACCTGGCACCATGCGGCCTGCAAAATACCTGAGCTTCGAATGCCGTACTGTACCGGTGGGGGAAAACAGCACAAAATCATGATACTGTACGGTGGTGTCCCTTGATCCCCCCCGTCCAGAGAGGGTCCACCAGGTAAGCCTTGGCACTCAGCAATCCTCCCTGCCCACCCTCTTTTGCCTGTTTTTCGAGGGACCGGTAAATACGGCGCGGTGGGAAGAGTGAATGATGGGCAGGGCGGTATGAGTGGGAGCTGTCGTGCTCGTAGATACCGGTAATGCACCTCTGCACCTTGTCGCGTGGCTTCTCGGTCGGGAGCATAAGCACTCCGTCAAGTGCCACACTACCATCGATGTGGAGGGGAGGATTGTATTACGAGCATTATCAATCAATATTCCGGCAATTCACCCAATGATATACCGCTGCGATACCGATAGTGTGTGCGCGCGTCTACTTGTACCGTATCCGTTCCTATTGTATCAGTGTATCACCGGTACTGTAGAGTACCTGTACAGGTGTGGTGGGTGCCGGCAATATTCGAGCCCGAGTGCAAAATCCAGCTTGCATACCCTAGTTCCACCTGCCAGTGCAGGGAGGCGGCGAGGGGTCCTATGCCATCTGGATGCCGCTGCTACCAGTACCGGTATTGCGACCTTGAAAGGTCTGGACAGCCTGGACAGTCTGAACAAAGTTGAGAAGAGGAATATAGTAGCCCCTCATGCCTTGCACAAACGTAGCCATTGCCCGACCACAGTAAAAAGGGGGGAGAAACATAAGCACACTGTATGGTAAGAGCCTTGTCTGAAGAACGTTTCCTGGCCCAAACCGGCTTGGCGAGAAACCGGCTGAAGGTCCAAAGATCCTCTCGGTTGCAGGTTAAAGCGTGGCCCAAATAGGGATGTGTACGAGTACTCGAGTACATATAAAGTGACTAAGCAAAAGTCTTGATGATTTAGCCTATTTCCCACCAAAACTGGGCAAAAACCCCTCTTTTCAATTACTTATAGTTTATTAGAATCAAGTGCTCCTTTTCCCATATTCAGGGGTCAAAGTCACTTTACCCACACAATACCTCAGAAATAAGTTGAAGCCTTCTCAGTACCAACTGCAGGTGCTGCTAGCTTGTAAAGTTGTACCATTGCTCAAAAGTTGTCATTATCATCAGTTTACTATGGAGATAGTTGCCATGGCAACACATCATCACCAGGTAGTAACTATCTTTGAGAAGCCACAGCATGGTGGGAACAGGCTAGTGAGATCTCTAAGATGTTGGATGATACTGTCTACATACTTGCATAACTACTTGGAAAATTTCTTGCCCCAGTTTTGGATGGGGATTCATTCAGGGACACCTCAAAATGACAAGTTTTGGTGTAAATGTGCCGAATCACCAAGACTTTTGCGGGGTCACTTTATATACAAGCATATCTCAAGATCGCTAGGATTGTGAAGAGCTTTTAGAGCCGCAATAAAGGTTTCTTGTACCATACTTGTAATGTACGAGAGCGATACAGGATATATTGTAGACCTCGTATGATGGGGTATGGGTACGATACTCGAGTACAGGTACCTATGATAGCGGTGCCTGCACATGATCAATGGTTGAGACGGTGGTGTTGGGACGGAGGATGAAAAATGCCCTGGATTTGGGATCTTCATGAGGCTCCGGAGCAGGGGAGATGGCACCACTCTTGGCACTTTTGCCGAAACCGTGACCGCGCAAGACAGGGCAGGGGAGCTCGTGACGACCCTTTACCGGTACCTCGATTACGTCTGTTTGCGATGGCACTTTAATTCTTCGATTTTTAATTTATTTGTGGGTAGCAAACAACTCGACACTCTCTTTTACCTTTTTCTGTTCTCCCTTCCAAATCTTTCACATCCAGTCCTTACCACCGCTCGTTTCTTGCCCTTCGCGGCTACCGTATGCGCGTGTCCGCGTCACGTACCGGTAGCATACGGTACTCCAGTTACGGTGGCCACCACTGTCCTCAACGCGTCCACCGTGGGCCCACACTGGCAACCGCGAAGTTGAAGTGGGAACGAAAGAGATTCCACTCGCACACCTACACACCTCGCGCACACGAGGCGAGAAGCCAAATCTCCGCCCCGTGTGGCTCTGGCTGAGGTTGTCACCTTGGTAAACATGTCGTCCGCGGATTACGTTGTAGGCGACAGTGCACCCCCGAGTGATGGAGGGGATCGACCGGGTCAGGAGGCAGAACAAGAACAAAAACCTCCATGCCAACCGGAGCTCACAACTGTGAGGCCGGCAATTCATCCATTTTTTGACAGCCAAAAACGTTGGTCCCATTCCAGCAATAAACAGTACAACCTTTACTGATAAACTGTTTTCCCAGGCAATGAGTTGAGACGTTTACCATCAAAGGGAAAGAGAGGCCGTCCCATAACTCCTGCGTCAATCTCGGATAACGAAGCCGAGGGTAAATCCAAGAGGCCTCGAGCTCCTTCCGATCCGAAGACCCAGAGAGCTGCGAAGACCCAGAGAGCTGCGAAGCCTCGAGAGGCAAAGCACCCGAAGAAGAAGAAGAAGAAGAAGAAGAAGACAATTACCGAAGCCGGACCTTCCAGTACCTCGGGCGATACGAATACCGCCGCGCCTCCTCCGGGTTCCCCTTCCTCGTTGATTACACCGGCCTCTTCGCCGGGACTACCGAAGGATGCCGTCGGGGGCTATGAAATTGACCCCAACCTTGATAGGAGGAAGAGAAGAAAGAAGACATTAAATCCTTTGGGGGGCGATCAGGATGATACACCCGAGGGACTTCCCTCTGCTCCCCAAGAAAACTTGAGCTATGCTCTCGGAAACCCTGATGTCTATTCTTCATGGAATGGACGTATCCTGACAATACGAGCCCCGGGTGAAAGACTGGCCAAGCTACCATCCACAGCAGGAGAGGCGTCCCGGGAATTGTCTTTTCCGGACCCTTCCAATCTCCTACGAGAGCAGAGCAAATCAGGAGGAGGGGGGGCGTCTGGCGTGGCTCCCCTACCTACATCGGATAACCAGACGCAAACAGGGCGGGGCGTGACCTATAATCTAGATGCTGGCACTATTGCTGCACCTAGTGACCCGTTTATACCGCTAAACAGCCCTATACCCATACCATCCTCGCCTCTTCCCGAGCTTAACCCCCCTTCTGTCGCCACCCGCAAACATGACGAGGCTCCCCTATCCGCTCTTGAGGAAGCTGTCCAAAGAAATAAGGAGGTTACCTACGACTATGAGACAGGGGCTTTGGTGATTCGGAGCAGCCCGCTGATCATCCCGGAAAGCCCGGCCATGTCGTCGGTTAATGCATTCAGTCTCATGGGGAAGAAAAAGGACCCCCCTCCATTAGATCTAGATTGTCCTGTTCTAGAAGCTCGAGCAAAGCCCACGCCGGCCGTCACAATTTGTGACATACCGAGAAAGGCTGCCGCTACCCTGGGCACAAAGCCCGTCCACCCTTTCTTCAGGCCTGGTGGAATGAAGAAACTCGACAATACTCCGACAGCTACAATGCCGATTACTAGCGCCACGAATGCTAATCCCGTAAAAACCGTTTCTCCCGGGTCGTCAGATCAACCACAGAGAAGCCCCTGTTTCTTCAGTAATAACCGGACACACTTGTCATCTGTTAGGCCCGGTGTACCCGCTCCTATGTCGCACCTTAACTCCGTGAATAGCCATTCCCTGCGGAATGGTGGAGCCGTTGGCCCTCCTTGGCCCTCAAAGGATAATTGCCATGTTCGTGGCCTTTCCAGAGAGGAGGCTGTTATCCACAAGGTCGAGAGTGAGCCCGTCTTGAAGGAACGGAAATTAAAAGATGCTGCGGTTGTAGTCCCGCCAGAGGAAGATATACTTGGGTTGTATGCATCACACCTCGACATTAATGCTCAGGAAAGTGATATGCTGTCGGTAGATTATCATGAGAGACGATTCTATGAGATCCCCTGTGATGTTAGACTCCCAAAACGGGTCGTTACGACTGGCATAAAATTCCAAGAGGCAATTCGAGAGAGAGTTGTTGCAAGACTACCACATCCGAATAACAGTGCGGTAGAAGTTCCACGTTGTCGAGCAAACTCTATATCGAGCATGAGTTCTGATGGATTGGGGAGGCGACCCCACCAAGTACTGCTGAATCTTTACGATAGGCTGGGTAGAGAACTTAGTGCTTTCGATAAAGGCGAATGCGAGAGCCAGGCCTGGGAGGCTAAGTATGCACCAGCCTCGTCTAGTGAGGTACTGCAAATCGGCAGGGAACCTCAGATCTTGAAGGATTGGCTGATGGCCTTAAAGGTGGAGAGCGTGGGTGTTGGCTCTAATAATGCGAAGCAAGGTACAAAGGGGAAGAAAAAACACAATTTGGGAGCAGCGGGGGGAAAAGCAGCTGCAAAAAGAAAGAAAAAGCGTAAGAAGGACGACGATGACCTTGCTGGGTTCGTGGTTGATAGCGAGGAAGAGCAGAATGAGATGGACGAGATTACCGATCCTGAGGACACAGATTATTCCACAATTCCCGGCATTAGGAAGTCCACCATACGTGCTGGCGATAAAGGGGCTGGTTCTCACTTTGAAGGTCTCAAAGAACCGGATAGACTTGTGAACGCTGTGGTTATAAGTGGCCCCAACGGGTGTGGAAAGACGTCAACCGTTTACGCAGTTGCAAAGGAAGTTGGTTTCACCGTCTTCGAAGTCTCTCCCGGAGCCAGGAGAAGTGGTAAAGATATTCTCGACCTTGTGGGGGAAATGACTCGCAACCACCTTGTTCTTCAGGCCAAGACAGGTGCTCCAGCCAGCGCTACCTCATTTTTGAAGAGCAAGACAGGGAAAAAAGCACGGGTTGAGGAAGATCTCGGGCTCAATAAGTCCCAGCAGCAGTCCCTCCTTCTTCTGGAGGAGGTTGATATATTATTTGACGAAGACAAGCAATTCTGGTCCACCGTACTCTCGCTTATCGCACAGTCGAAACGCCCGGTTGTGATGACTTGTAATGATGAAGGCCTTCTACCAATTGACCTTCTGTCGTTGCATGCTGTCCTCAGGTTGACACCGCCGCCGATGGACTTGATTGTTGATCACCTACTCCTGATATGTGCCAACGAAGGCCATATGCTTCGCAGGGAGGCAGTTGCGACACTGGTAAAAGCAACGGGCCGGGATCTCAGGGCTAGCTTGATGGAACTCGAGTTCTGGTGCAGAATGGGGGTGGGAGATCGGAAGGGAGGGTTGGACTGGATCTTGGTACGGTGGCCCAATGGATCCGACCGTGATGAGAACGGTGACGTTCTTAGGGTGATTAGTAGAAACACTTATCGCAAAGGCATGGATTGGATCCAGAGAGGGGCCAGTGACGAGGAGAAATGGAATGGCATATGGGAAAAATGGGGAGTTGATGTCGGATCCGGGGAAGACAAGGAACTGAAAGATTTCTCTACTAGGCTTGGGAAGGGCCTACAATTCTTGGAGATATGGGACGACTATGCCGAGGCAATGAGCTCTGTGGATATATACACTAGCTTGGAGATGGACAGCACTAGGGTAAGCTTTATGCATCGGCCCAACGATAGCTAGAGTGGAGATTACTGACCATTATGCTTAAGGCCGCGTTCGATACCACACTCCCCCTAATGGGTGCGAAGGTTCGTTTAGACGATATCATAGGATATCAAACTCTGCAGGTGGATCCCGTAGCCGCGCTTTGGTCAACAGAGACAGATATCTCGATTTATACGAGATCGCTAGCAAGGGTGTGTCTTAATGATAAGGCAACTACCTTATCCATCCCTCCACTTAATGTGGTTCGCGATGAAGAAATTATCAGCAACGTCGCTGATAGGAGATGCATCAGGGATGAGTTCAGGTATTTCCCATTGCTTGGTGCAGTTATATATAATATGCTTTCTGACGGCCCGGCTATAGTCCCCTTTCAGATATCTACATCCGAGAGACTTTCCAATCGCTTGGATCCACATCTACTATTTTTTCACCCACTCCCACCATTTCGCACTCGGTGATCACCGGACCCCGTGTGGCTTTAATGACAGACGCGGCTCCATACATTAGAGGCATCACCAGGTATGGCCTGGCAAAAGAGGAGGAGAGGAAGAGAGCCAGCGGTTTACTCTCCCAAGGTGGTAGGAGTGGAAAAAAGCGCCTTACAAGGGCCGCCAGGGTTGCCGAGGAAGGGGGGGACAGACGTAGGCGGGAGAGGTGGTTTGGCCAATTGAACGCTAGACTTGTTGAGGGGAGCGGAGGCGATGGATGGGGCGATGCCGCAGTCACCCTGAGCCGAGAAACGTCCGAGTATGGGGAGGACCACGGCCGTGCTAGCTAGCTAGATTTTTGTGGGTTTTGCTATCTAATTTCAGAAGGGAAAGGATGGGATGGGTGGGCTGTGATTTTTCTTCTTTTCTTCCTCTTCTTTTCATTTTTTTTTTTTACCCTCTCTTGTATGATAGATGATTTACTCCTCATGTGGCTAGAAGACTGTGGTTTGGGCGGCCGACGCTGTATTAGATGATCTCAATAGCATGAGTGGGTGTTAACCATGGCAAGGTTTGGTTCGCTGACGATGGAGCGCTAGCAACAATATCCCCGTACATTATGGTGGTAAGTGCTTCTACAACGCCTTATAAAGTTTTCCGACTTCTTCTACTCAGATGTTATCACTTGGCTTTTAATAAAGCCTCTCTATTTCCCCCTTTCTATAGCTTACTCTGGGGCTGTATGGTCACTATGGCGACATGTACGATAGAGACTTCCCCTCAATGATACTATACTCTGCGGAGGGAAATGAAAAAATAAATAAATACAACTTTTCAGAAATTTTAACTAATTAAGAATAATAATAATAAAACCCCCTATGACATTCTGGAACGAGCAGGCAGGATTCCGATCACTCCCTCTGTGGCCGGCAGCGAAGGGCGGGAACCAGCTCATCCGAGAAAGCGGTACGGTAATCATTATCCCATACTCGAGTAAGTTAGTCTGTTGGAAAAGTGGCCCACTTTTAGCGTACCAGAGAGCAGGGGTGTTCAAGCATTAGCACGACAAAAATTGCCACAACACGGTAAGTATTGCTTCCAGAACCTTACCCTCATATATTATGATATTTAAAACTGCATTCTCTTTGCCACTTCTAGTGCATATGATACTAGTACCTACCGTACAATAGTTTTGCTCACTGAGTCACCTGGATATATATTAACTAGGGTTCAGGCCTCGGGTATCGATCGACAGGCCCAAACGGTATAAATATCATGCTATCATACGGAGGCAGAATGGTTTAGTGGGCTTCGTATGATAAAGAATTTCCATTTTGATTAGTGCCCTTCTTGGAATGGGCCACTTGCACAATCTATGGGATACAGTAACTAGTTTAGTTTATAGTGCTATCATACCGTGCTCGAGTTGTTTCTGGTATTAGACCCTGTTCGGCGTGTCACAATATAAATATATCGCAACAAAAGTTGCAAATAGCATATATTTCAAAATAAATTTATAGCATATCATATTTCACAAATATAAGTGTTTGTTTGAGCAGCCATAAGATAAATATATATGCCAAGACAATACATATCCTATCATGATTGCTGCAAAAGTAGGGTTAAATTTTTTTATTTTGAATCAAAAAAGCCTCATATCGCTAGCTTTACAAGATATCGTACTACTAATCAGGTTTGAATCCATCAATAGTATATGCCAGTGGTGGAATGATAGAGCAAATTTTGTATTAATTTTCAATAGAGTCTTCTATTTATTAATTGTTATATACAAATAGTTTCTTACATACTAGACATTTTAGAATGACATGGTGAAGGGCACTCCTTTCTAGCCTTTAACCTAGATACTATATTCTCATATTTATCCTATAAAAATATATTGTGATATTTTTGTGCATGCTGAACACATCCCTATATAAAAAGTTTTAGTTGGCAAAATTTATGCCATAAAAGTGGCACGCCGAACAGGACCTGATTTAAATTTATTTGTGTGCTTACATCTGGGGGTGTTATGTAAGCAGGGAAATTGGTAGTACCGTATCATAACTTAGTACCGTAGGGGGGCCGTATAAAGTTACCGGTACCACAGTGGGCTCTTAGTATTTTTAACAGCGCTGTGGTATGGGTGACGTGCTATGGACACGCGTATATTGGGGAATGGGCCGATGCATGTTAGAATTTTTAGAAAACTTTTTATTATTATTGGAGCGAGAGTGTTTTGGCCCGGTGCGGTATCGGATATTCCGAATTGGGTCAGTTTGGGGGGTGACTGATCGATTGGGGGGGAAGCATGGCAGCTGCAGGCCGCAGCCAGCGGCGCATGTAATCCCGAGTTGCGAGTCGCTCGTAACTTGCCGGTATTCTTCTTCTTCCTCTTCTTCTCCACTCTATCTATCTCTCTCTTTTCTCCTCGCCATAGTGAGTACTGTAGCAATGTCTCTATTTGGCGATTCTCCTCCAGGCCGTTCTCGCTCTTCGCTCTTCGCGGACGAGGAATTCGAGTCCGCACCCGGCTCGCTGTTCGACTCCGGTGCTGATGCCTGGCACTCGGCTGGGCTTCCCGCTGCCCGGCGCGGTGCTCCTCCTGCGGACATTTCAAAGACGCTGCTCACAAAGGAGAATGCGAATATTCCCGAGAGATACGATTTCCTCTACGAGTCGTTTTTGGATCAATTTAGAAATCTCGATGGGGGTGGGGTTAGCTTGGCTGGTGTTAAGCAGGTGCTCAAGGAAGCTGACGCCGATGGGTATGGCATCGAGGACAAAATTTTGGGCATTTTGATGAAGGGCGGGAAGCGGGGTATCGGTCGTGAGGAGTTTTACGTTTTGTTGGCGTTGGTTGGATTGGAGCAGCAGGGTGAAGAGGTCACTATCGATGGGGTGGACGACTTGAGGAGGAGTGAGTTATTATCCCTTGTAGGCCGGTGGTGGTGGTAGCGAGGGAAGAATAGAGTGCCATGTTGACATGTGCACTTAGATTTGCCCGTACCAGACTTGGCCAAGTCTCGCCGTCCCCACCCCTCAAAGGCCATCGAGACCCCAACCACTTCTATTGCGTCCTCGATCAACCAGTCCGCTCCTCCCCCCCCCCCACACCACTCACAATCGGCCCAGGATCTCCCCACCTCAAGCACGCCCGTTAAGGTTGTCCATCGCCAACAATCCACTCCTATAAGCACTGCTCCAACCCGCCCGAGAAACGCGGCTGGCATATTTGGCGCTGAATCGGATCCGTGGGGGGGCCCTGAGATGCACGAGAACCACGACCACGCCAACCAACAGGATAATCGAGTAGCTATTATGGATAACGGTGGAAACAACCACCAGCCGACCCCTCCTGCCGAGAGAAATACTTTTGAATATACACCATCTGCATCTACGCTTGGAATGCCGCCTACGGATCCTTCGCTTGATAGGAATCACTCCGCTTATTCTCACGCTCCCCAGACCATACAGCGCATTGGTGGCGAGGATCATGAACCCGATGATATCCATTCTGCCCTTAGACAGAGCGATACAAGCCGGACATCCGCTTCATCATGGGGGGTTTACGATGGTCCTCAGAGGCAGGGCTCGTTTGGCGGGAGCACATATAACCAATCTGCTGTTTTCGGGGAGCCGAATCCTGGAACGGGACAGAGGCATGGCTCGTTCGGTGGCCTGGGTGGGAATAGTCTGAATGGTTCTGTGCCTACTATCACCGGGTCTGATGGTGGTGGGCTGGGCAGGATGAGGGTCCCGAGGGGCCCGGAGGAGGTCGTAACTGTGACTGTGCTGCCAGAGATGGAGGGGATGTTTATGTTCCAGCATCGTAATTACCAAATCGCAAGTGCGAGGAGACAGAGTAGGGTCGTTAGGCGATATAGTGACTTTGTTTGGTAACTCGCCATTTACGGTTTTCTGGGAGATTGTCTAATGCCCACGCAGGTTATTGGATTGCCTTCATAAACGATTCCCGTTTCGGCAGCTACCTCTATTGCCCCCTAAGCGATTGGCTGGTAAGTTCCAATTCTCTCTAGATTTTGTTTGTGGATCTGTCTGTGGTTTCAAGTCGAAGCGGAAATAACCTTATTCACCGGATCACGTAGTTAATGGGCACTATCTCTCAGCCGATGCGGCGTTTCTGGAGCGCCGCAGGAGAGGACTATCCAGATTTGCCAATGCACTTGTCCGTCACCCGGTGCTGTCACAGGAGCAACTTGTGATTATGTTTTTGACGGTTCCCACGGTATGTACCCTTACAGTCACCACCAATGTCGCTTGCTATGGTGATTGGCGAAAAATCATTAGCGTGCTAAAGAAATAAGCAACAGGAGCTGTCCGTTTGGCGGAAGCAGGCGAACCTTTCGGTCCAGGAGGAGTTTTCTGGAAAGGCCCTTCCTCCTGGACTCGAGGAGCGTCTGCCACAAACTCTTGAGAACACGTTCGATATGGTTCGCAGTGGGCTGCGCAAGTCCTCCGAGATTTATATCCAGCTGTGCAATCTCGTCGAACGTCTTGAGAAACGCCAAGAGGGCGTTGCGGCGGATTACATGAGGCTCTCTGGCGCCCTTCGCTCTCTGACCGATGTTTCCGAAGCTACTTATGCCGTCGACACGAGCGAAATCCCGCTGCTTAACGACGGACTGACAGCGGTTGCCAAACACCTTTCACAATCACAATCCCTGATCGAAGACGAGACAAAGGCCTGGGACCAAGGCGTCCTCGAGGACCTCAAGCGTCAACGTGACTGCCTCGTTAGCATGCGTGAACTCTTCGAACGCAAGGACCGCTACGCAGTAAACAACATCCCGCAGCTCGAGCGGAGAATCAAGCAGAATGAGGCTAAGCTCGAAACTATCCGCCACCGTGTGGAACCTGCAAGGCCCGGAGAAGAGGAGAGGGTGCAGGAGAGTATTAGTAGAGACAAGAAGAGCATCGTGGACCAGCATGCTAGAGGAGTCCTAATCAAGGAATGCATCAGGGATGAATTGATTTATTTCCAGAACAGCCAGTATCATGTTGCTAGGTTTGTTCCCTTCTCCTTCCCACCTCCTTTTTAGTCACGGAGAGCATAGCTGATAATGATCGCAACAGATTGCACCAAGACTGGAGCCAAGAGCGTGTGAAGTACTCTGAACTACATGCGGATAACTGGAGGTCACTCTGTAATGAAGTTGAGGGGATGCCACTGGGGGAATAGCCTTGCGTTAGCCCTTTAATTTGTTTCCATAATATTTCCCTTTGTTCTTTCCTTTTTTTGATCCTCTTTCCCCTTGCACCTTTTTCCTATTTCACATTCGCTTGCATGTTCACGATGTTCCTGCACCCTAATGTTCTGATGCGGTTTGTCTAGCCAGTACGAGACCACTAAAAGTTGAAGCGGAGGTTACAATGTGATAATACTAATGTCGTTATGGCGTGATATCCCTTGCTGGTCCGTGGGTTCCGATTTATCGTCCGCCAGCGATGCGTAAGGAACGATTCACGTATCGTATGATAGCGGTATTGGCGTGTTGTAAAGTGAGTTAGGCTACCGGTATGCGGCTCTGTGCGGCTCTGCGGGTTAGGGTTGGTGCTCCCGCAGATGCCACCGGGCATCATACCGACACGGCAGGAGGCGGTGCTTTTTGGTGGCACCTACCGGTATTAAGGGTGTCATAGCTGGGTTCCTGCTGTGATTGAGTCTTGACGTCCGATGATGGGATGGGGACTGAAGACTGGAGTTGAGGCTCCGGCGCGGTGTTGCGGGAGTACTGTAAGAGTAGACTCCATGCAGGCTTATGTTACCCTACCATACAATTGTCTTGCATGATAATTATGATAAGTTGTATGTGCGGCTTGTGTTTTTAGGGTTTGTGTCATACCAGCAGGCCCTGAGTGACAGGAGTATGGTGCAAAGCGTCTATAGCCTGTACCATGTGGATGTACCCATGTAATGCCTGTATATTTAGTAAGGGCAAAGGGTTCTAAATCTGGTTAATGGATTTTGAAGGGAGAGAATTCAACTTCAGTTCTGATTGTGGGTTTTTTGTAATTATTTTCAACTTAATGTTGGATATATAGAATAATACATGAATCTACTTCAATTAATTTGTATTTATTAACTGATTAATTGACAAGTTGGATACAAGTCTATGAGATTTATATCATACTATCTGTTTACTAGCCTCTCATACTCAGGGGAGCCATATACCACATTCATCCAATAAGTGCAGTGTAATGTCTGAGTCAATAAAGTTTTTTGAAGTTTTTTTCTTCTTGATTTACATCAAAGTGATTAATAAGCTACATCAATAGAGCAAAATAGGCTTGAAATATGTAATATCAGGGAGAGTTGAACATTCAACCTCTGAAATTAATTTTTTGCATTTATAACCCCTTGCCCTCACTCGTTACAAGCATTACACGGGTGCATCCACATGGTATCATACAGGCTATAGATGCTTTGCACCACAAGTACAAGTCCTTGTTCTTTACCAATGCCTGATACGCCTCGCCCAACCTATGATACGATCGCCACATCCCCTGTTCGAACCCCTCTCGCCATGAGGTCCTCAAACCCGCACTTCCAGGCTTACGATGTCTTCCCGTACGACTTCATGGGTGGCACTGACGGGCTGAGATCCCATCTCAGCCAGCTCCGGTATGATGCCTCCGAGGATGGGGACATAAGATTCATCTTTTCCGACGGGGACGAGCACCGTACCTACTCTCCTCTCTTCTATATAGCAGCGGGAAATAGGCTGCACACGGACTTCGGCCGAGGCGACGGACGAAACGTCTACGTTCCTGGGGACAAGGATCTGGAGTGTGTTGTCGAGGATATTTTGGAAAAGTGCTGCACGAAGGAGACCTTGACGGGGTTATGGAAGGCCATGAACAACGTGTATCCGCAGGCGGAGGGACCGAGCGCGGCTTTCCAGGAACCGATATTGAGCGCCGGACTCCCGGAGGTGCTGATGCCGGATTTCACGATTCATCTGAAAGTTCTGGGGGACAAAGCGCCGGTGTATTCGGCGAAGGTGCACCGTTTCCTGCTGCCGATTCGCATAGCGTACTTCAGGACGCAGTTCGGTTCTGCGTTCCGCGACGCTCACGCCACCGAGGCTACGTTCTACACGGAGGAATTTACGAATTGCGGATTGTGGGCTGTCATCTGGTATGTGTATGACTCGGAGCTGTGGTCCATGTTCGGGAACTACAATCTCGACAGGCACATGAATAGTTCTCCCGTCTCCCCGGATGGGTCTCCGGATTGTAGTTTGTACAATGCACCAGGCACCAAGACGCCCCCCGTTGAGATCATCGATCGGCTCTTTGAGATTGTGCGCGCGGCGGACTTCTTACAGATCACTGACCTCAAGCATTGGGCCCATTACTCGATTGTCCGGATGGCGCATGAGTTCACTTGCGTCGGTGCAAGCTGTGCGCGTATTGTGCCCTACGTGCTAGATAAGGTGTACAGTTGTGAAGTCTCGGATACCTGGATATTCAACAAAGGCCTGGAACTGCTCAGTACCCGAGGCATCAAGGGTCTCTGGAAGAGGCCGCTGATGAGATGCAACGACGCAGTAATCGCCGCCCTCGTCGCGAAAGTTCGCGCAGAAATGTCCGCCAACGAGAGAGAGATGGTGGAAATTTACCTGAGAATTTATAGCCACGCTTCCCTCGTCGCCACGTCGGATTTGAAGGAAGACTGGCACCGGAAGATCATTGACCCACTGCTAGACCACGGCGCTCTCGTAGCCGCGGATAAGCTCGACAGCTCAAAGATCATCAACCCAATCTCTACGGTCCTTAAAGCGACCACACTTGTGAAGCCTGGAATCCACGACTTGATCGTCCGGGCGGCCTCCCCAAAGACCATAAACCAGAAAAACTGTTCCCGGGTATTCCGCGGCATTCGACAATTGGAGAAAGCCATCCTGCCGAATAAGTCCGAAGCCCTCCGTGAGGCTAAAGAAACTGTTGTCGTCTGGCTGCGCAAGAATTGGCTTACCCTATCGCTCATTCCCGCTCCCGGCCCGCGTGAAGGGAACTACTTTAGCGCTTGGGGTGATAAAGACCAGCAGCTGTTGGCTGCGGAATTGAAAATTTCGGTGCCAGAGTTGTTAGCGCAGGAGGCTGCCGGGGGTGGGAGAAAGGTCCGAAGTAGCTATGCGTACGACCCGGCGTTTAGAAAAGTCAGGTCGAACTTCTGGGGGAAGGCTGATAGCGGGAGCAGGGGTCGGGAGGGTGGGAGTGGGGGGGCGGGCGGGAAAGGGAAGGCGGCGGTAGTGGAGGATGAGTGGGGGAATGAAGGACTTTCGGAGACGGGTGCGGAGAAGGGGAGTTTGACTGGGGAGGGTGTTGCTCGGGGACCGGTGGATGGGGGTGAGATTATGTTTTGAGGGCATTCTTGTGTCCCTTGAGTGTACTGTTTTTCAATCTCATCTGTCTTTACTGGCTTGTATAGTAGCGGCAGTAGTAGATTCCTGGTTTTTAGGTGTTAATAAGGAGGTTTTCTTTTTATTTCTTTGAAGATGGGTTTCCGTGGCCGTGTTTTAGATTGGGTGAGGTCATGGCTGGCTGCCGGGGATCTCAGCGAGAATCTTTAGAGACTTGGAGCGGTTGACCGCAAGGCTTGGTACGATAGACTGGGAATATTTAAACTCCCTGCACTCCTACCATACGGGAATCACCGGTGATGTTAGGATTTAAAAGCAGTGATTCAGATACCGTACGAGTACGGTATTGAGGTCCAGGTTATTGCGCCCAGATCCAATTCCTCGGGGTTTCCAGTCACCCACGACCCCCTCCGAGTGACACTCAACGACCCGGAACCTCCCGTCTTGGCAGCGTTTTTTGAACCTTTTTTTTTTCCAGAACCCAGTCTCACTCCCCCACCTGGACTACCGGCAATCCATCTTCCCTTCCACTGCCCCACTCTCCCTACAACTACTACCCACAGATACGCAATGGCGGACATATTCCGCCTACTGACCCGCTCAACTACATTTGCAAAGGGCGCTGGTTCTGCCGCCGCAACCGCAAATGCAAGAACAAACAAACTCACTGCTACCACCACTACAGCCACAGCATCCTCCTCCTCCGGCACACTCCCGACGGAACTCGACTTTTTCGGCGCTGGTGTCAAGCGTTCTCATGACAACATCGGCGGTGAGGATAACAGTGATAGCGACAGGGATCATGATTATGGGAACGAAGAAGAAGAGTTGGGCCTATGTGAGCCGCCAGCTTTGGGGCAGGAGGAAATAAGGGGTTTGCTGAGGAACCATAGATTAAAATTTACGCTCTTGGAGCCTACGAATGACGATGGAGGGAAAGAAAAGAAGAAGAAGGGAAAGAAGGAAGAACTAATGATCCAACCCCTAATTTCATTCACCCATCTGCACAAGCTATCTCCGCGCCTACACCGAAACATGCGGGCGCAGGGGTACAATGTCCCGACGGAAGTGCAAATGGGCGCGATGCCCGTAATATCGCGTGGCGAGAACCTGATTTGCTGCGCACCGACGGGGAGTGGGAAGACGGTGGCCTTCATGGTGCCAGTTCTGGACTGGATACTCGCGCAGGGGAAGGATGATGAAGGGTTGGGGGGAAGGGGAAGGGGAAGAAGAAGAAGAAGAAAGTCCGGGCTGTGGTGGTGGCGCCGACGAAGGAATTGGCGGGGCAAATAGTGAATGAGGGGAAGAAGTTGGCTTTGGGCACTGGGGTGCGTGTAGCCTTGTTGAAGAAGGGTGGTGAGGGAGTTAAGAGTGAGATTGTGGTGTCTACGCCGGCGGTTTTGTTACATTCTCTTGAAGCGCCCACCTCACCCTCCCCCACCTCTGAGAAGAAAGGGAAGAAGACCGACTGGTCCTCAGTATCCAGGCTGATCCTGGACGAAGCCGACATCCTCCTAGACCCCCTCTTCCGCGCGCAAACACTTGGAATCTGGACACAATTACAATCTCCACACCTCCGCACATCCCTCTTCAGCGCGACAATCTCTTCCTCCACCGAGACACTCTGCCAGAAACACATCTCCCCCTACGATTCCACTTCATCCCCTATTATCCGCCTAATCGTCGGCCTAAAGGACACAACGATTCAAAACATCACCCAAAAGCTAACCTACACCGCAACCGAACCTGGCAAGCTCCTGGCGCTCCGCCAGCTCTTTACAACCTCCTTTCACCCGCCCGCCTTGATATTCGTGCAGACGATCCCGCGCGCCAGAGCGCTCGTCGCAGAGATCCTCTACGACCTACCTAACCCGGGCCGGATCGCGGTACTGCACGCGGAGCTCTCGGACGTTGCACGCGCGGAGGTCATGGGCCGTTTTCTAGCGGGGGAGATTTGGGTGCTTGTCACAACGGACTTGCTTGCCCGCGGGGTGGACTTTCGGGGTGTTAGGTGTGTCGTTAATTATGATATCCCGACGTCTGTTGCGGGGTATATCCACCGTGTTGGGCGCATGGGGAGGAGTGGTGGGGTGCAGGGGGGACTGGCAGTTACATATTTTACCGAGGGGGATGTGCCACTTGTGAAGGGAATTGCGGGTGTTATTGCTAAAGCTCAAGGGGAAGGGGGGAAGGGGGAGGGGGAAGGGAAATGGTTGGTGGATGCGCTGCCGAAGGTTGGGAAGGGTGTTAAGGAACGGTTGAAGAAAAGGGGGGTTGAAACGAGGAGTAGAGCGGCTGATGGGAGGGAAGGGAGGATTAGTACCAAGAGTGGCTATGAAAGGAGGAGGGAGAATAAGAGGAGGGGGGCTGCCGAGGGGAGCAAGAGGCGGAAAGTGCAGGCCGGGGGCGGTGGGGATAGTGATGGAGATGAGGAGGAGGAGTTTATGGGGATTGCGGATTTTGATTGATTACCTTGTGCTTCCTACATGCCCCCTGCCTGTCTGACTTTGTCATAGACGGTGTACTATTCCCCTGCTTCTTCCTGTTAATAGTTATCACTCACTAGACCGATGTATGATGTGTATCCCGTCGTTGTTGTTGCCACATACAAAAAGTACGCAGCAACACAGCCGCTCCATTGCGCGTAATATAGTAGGGACTTTGCGAAAAGACTCTGGATGTGGGTCAAACAGGGTTCTGGGCCAATTAGATCGCTAGAATTTGACTCTGGATGCGAAATCGCAAAGTCTCTAGTCTTCGATATCAAGCTTCTTCCCTCCCTATCTTGACTGCCGACCAACCCGACCAACCCCACACCCCAACACAATACCTTGGACACATACAGTACATGAAATGCTAAGCTTGCAAAAACCATTCCCGTACTCACGCCTACCGGTAACGGAGCAAGCACGATTCTAACCAACCCTTCTCGGTACGTACTGTACTCGTCGAGCGAGAGAGAGAAGGTCGGTCGGTGATGATCGACCGGAATACAGTACGGCCGTGTACCGCCACGCATGGAAATGTCATTTTCTCCATGTATGATCGCTGCGCTACTCTTCATCATGTTACGCGAATTTGCAGGATCAAGGGAAATGATCGTGATGATGGAAGTGTTGTAAATCCTTTGGCAGGTACCGGGAAACTTGAGGAACCGAACCGCTCTTCAATTTCTAT